GTAGATGACAGATGACGCTCTCTCTTTGTTTCTGGGGACCAAAGACAATCATTTCAGTTTTGTCTGCGTTTAGCTGAAGGAAGTTGTTTTGCATCCACTCACTGATCTGTTGGATACAGTGAAGGAGTGAGTCCACTGGTCCATGTTCTCCTGCAGTCAGTAAGTAATAAGTAAGTAAGTAATCAGTGAGACATAGATCTGAGTGTCGTCTGCATAGTTGTGATTGGACACTTCGTTTCTGCGTATTAACTGACCTAACGGCAGCATGTAGAGATTGAACAGAAGAGGTCCCAGGATCGACCCCTGTGGTACTCCACAGGTCAGGGCCATATGATCTGAGGCACAGTTTCCAATCTCCACAAAGTACTCCCTGTCTTCAAGGTAAGACCTAAACCAACTTAGGGCGGTGCCAGCGACGCCAACCCAGTCCTCTAGTCTCTGCAAGAGGATCTCATGGTCGACGGTGTCAAAGGCAGCACTTAGATCTAACAAGATTAAGATTGAGGCTTTGCCTGCGTCAGTGTTCAGCCGGATATGAGATAACCTTGATGAGAACAGTCTCGGTGCTGTGGTGAGGTCTAAAGCCGGACTGAAACATATCAAATGAGTTGTTGATTACAAGAAATCTAGTAAGCTGTAGGTAGACAACTTTCTCAAGGACTTTCCCCATAAATGGCAGATTTGAGATGGGACGATAGTTGTTAAATACCGTAGCATCCAGGCTGCATCATGGTCTGCATGCATCGCTAGTGTTTGTAAAACTTTTTCGCGGACAATGCATTGATCTATTATAATATCAATGGAGGACAACGGCGAAGGTACAGGCAAAAAGAGGAGAGTTAATAAGAAACTCTGAACACTAAACCGGAGTAGTTTGCACACATGGGTAAGTGGAGCTAGCATAGCATAATGGCACAAGCTTGATGCTGCAGCACCTGACGAGGAAGCATCGAGGGAAAACCCGAGACGAGGTATGTCAACTTTCATGTTATGGTGTCGGGCACGCGTTGTGAAATTAAAATGTTGATGATTATGATAACACGGAGGGGTTTTCCCGCGAACAGTCAAGCACTACCAAAGCGGCATGGTTGAAAACTATCAACGTAGCCTACAGTTAGCCTTCCATTTGTTAGTGCAGTGAGGAAGCAGAAAGGTTTATCAAGTTTATAAAAATGTATTATGAATGTTTTACTTAATTTGACATTCTCTACAATCATAGTGCCAACGGGTTTTATACTACTCCACAACAGTTAGTTGAACTCCGTACATAATATGCCTGTAAGAACACTGTGGACCAAAATCCATCAGCAGTAACAGAACTGTAGGGTAGAGATGTGAACAATAACGATATACTAACATTAAATAAAAGCTCTAAAACAAGTATAAAATGCTGTAGTGTAGTATTGTATACTGTCATATATAGTCAGACACATGTGGTTCTAGTTTGCATATTATAATTATTGCAGAGATGCACGACGTGAGGTCAGCAGTGTTTATCTAATATAGGACATATTGAATCTGGAAGGGGTGTGTGATTGACAATTAACATCTGCTTTTCCCTTTCTTTCAGTAAACCATCATAGCCTGTTTAGGACCAGTTCCTGCTCCCAGCACCAGCAGCTCTTCTGACAGATAGTATTTTAAATATTCTGCTCAGAGACATGTGCCTCGTCTGATTCTGTTCGATCTGGAAGGACTCGAAAATCAACCGTGGTACAGGTGCAATTGCTGCTGCCTTGTCTTCATTTGATGATATAAATACAATAAACTGTATCAAATTTTAAACAAAAGTTGTCACTATTAAGTGCTTTTCATTTGATATTGTATATTTTCAATTGTATATGTAATCATTTTTAGGCCAGCAGTGAAGGCCTTGCTGGCCTTTAGGGTCCACCACTCCTCTCTTGTCTCTCTGTCTGGTCTCTCTCTGGCCTCTTCCAGGTCTCTCTCAGGTCTCTCTCTGGTCTCTCTCTCTGGCTTCTCCCTGGTCTCTCTCTGGTGCACCAGAGCTATGCACCCCAGCTTGAGAAAAACACATAGATCTATTGTTCACCTCCCTCCTTGATGCTCAGTTTCGCCTGCAGCTATGATTTTTGGCCTTAATTGAGTTCTCCCACTCAAAGGGCTCTGAAAATCACATTAACGTCTTCAATCACAGCTAAATGAGATCCATGTAACAGGCGGCTGTTTCACTCGCCTCTCACTCCTCACATCAGTCACACACTTCATTCAGGCTAGGAGGGACCAGAGAGGTCAGAGGGAGGGGCAGGAGGTACCACAGGCAGGGGTGGGGTCAAAAGACTGGAAACACTATGAGCATAGACCAGGCTTACCCAAAACCAAGCCCACGAGTCAATTTTATGTGGCCCTCGCTATTGAGGTATTTTGACAGTGTCATTCAACTAACTTCAGCTCCACCCATACAGTCATGCTATACCATGTTGTAAATCTTAGACCCTCTGGAATCCAGTCGTCGACTCTATTGCTATACTCATATGACATTTATTTTATGATTGTGTCACAACATTACAAATTAAATGCAGTTGTGGTGTGAATCAATAAGGACGTATCATGACCCTTTTAAATTCCAGGATCCAGTCAATTCCAGCTCAAATCCAGTTTTTTAATCCAGGTAGTCTGATGCACTTAAGTGGCCCTCTTCTCCAAAGTTTGGACACCCGTGGCACAGACTGTATACAGATGGACAATGCTAACCCCTCCAGCTCAGTAACCGTTTGTGTCACCATTTAGTTTTTAAATCTGTGGTTTAGTGTTCTCTGTGATCCTGGTGTTTTTTATTGCAATAATTTACACTTCAGCCCATACAAAGACAATTGTCACCAGCTTTGGCTAAATTTGGCATTAAGGCTAACACTCGGTCAGTCCATTCCTAATATCTTTGGTGTCTGGTCCAGTGGGGGTGGATCCCGGCTCAGAAGTGGCCAAAATGACGTGCGCTGACATGCTTGCAATACCACCCCGGGCCGATGGGGGTGGACCCAGAAGAAGAATTAGCCAATGCTAACATATAGCATTGGCAGACCTCTGGAAAACGTCTTTACAGGATGGTCCAAAAGTTGGCTCTTGGCCAAAAGCTCCGTTCCACATGTGTGTCAATGCTGAGGGGAGTGAATTTTTTTGGTCCACTCTAGTTTACTTGCTGTGAATTGTTGAAGTCTCTCGTTCAAATGAATGGAGCTTGCGCCTGCTGACGCATGCGCAGATGCGTTTTTTCACAATTTTCTTGTGGGCGGGACCACTCGCGGCCATTTTGGATAGCTCCAGTAGAGCACTATTTTTGGCCCATTAGTTAGAACGGCGGAGATAGGCGTGACTCTGTCCGTGAATATATACAGTACAGTCTATGGTCTGGTCTCTTAAGGGTCTCTGTTCCCTGGTGTCTCTCCTTGGTCTACTGTATCTTTGGTCCCTCTCTGCTCACTCTGGTCTCTCTCCAAGCTCACTGTGGTCTCTCTGCTCTCTCTCTACTCACCCTGGTCTCTCTCCAAGCTCACTGTGGTCTCTCTGCTCACTGTCTGCTCACTCTGGTCTCTCCACAAGCTCACTGTTGTCTCTCTTTAGTCTCCCTGCTCAGTCTGGTTTTGCTATGCTCTCTCTGCTCTCTCTCTGCTCTCTCTGTGCTCACTCTGGTCTCTCTGGTTCAGTCTCTCCCTGTGTCAGTCAGAGCCGTAGCCCACACATGGTGCCACACAGAGATGATTGCTGGTATTTCCTCTGGATGACGTTAACGATGGTGTTTATGGGACACAGTGATGCAGCAGAGATCCCCCTGACGAGCCCCTCCCCCCTGATGAGCTGTCAGTCAAAAGCTGACATCATCATACACATGGTTCCAGATGTTTCTGCTGCTGACAACAATCATAGACTTACTCAACATCTGTCATTCAGCCAACTCCAGCTTCAGTCCAATCACAACAGTCTGCTGCACTGACCCCTTTTCTCCCCATGTCTGTGCAGTGCCCTGTTTCCACCAGCTCTGCTCTACTCTACTCTACTCTGCTCTGCTCTGCTCTACTCTACTCTGCTATACTCTACATTAGTCTACTCTACTCTGCTATACTCTACATTAGTCTACTCTACTCTACTCTACTCTACTCTACTATACTATACTCTACACTACTTTGCTCTACTCTACTCTACTCTACTCTACTCTGCTCTTTTCCACTCTGCTCTAATCTACTCTACTCTACTCTTTGAATTCCTTTGGAAGAAAAGAACAGCAAAAAGTGGAAGAAATGGGTGTGGGTGCTCAGAAGAAAGCCCCGATTCTGGGATTAACAGAAAGCAAAACGTACCCGGTTTTGCTGACACATAGAGTGATGATTTCTCTATTGAATGCCGCTGTGACTCCACCTGGTCTGACACAGTCACGGACTTCTGTTTCATGGAAAAAAATGGCCCAACCTTTCTAGAAACAAATAGTCATAGGCTTCCAGACTTTTAAAGGCCTTTAACTTTTCTTGTGTGAAGGGTCCCGGGTTATCCTGAGTTATGTTAGAATAAATGTCTCGCAGATCGGTGCCAAGACAGAGGCGAGTCTGACCAATGTTTGTCGTCATCCCAGGTCTCATGGCTTTGGAATTGTTCAGTTCGGGTTCCTATACTTATTTTTATCTTAATATCTCCTCCGATTTTCTTGCATTAAAGTGCTTATGTATAGTGCATTTCACCCGCTAAGTCTTTTAAAAGTACCTACTGCATCCATGTTTTTGTACGTGCCGCTCTGTCTTCTTGCCACACAGCGAGTGGCGCACGCGGATGTAAACAAAGATTCTCCTATTGCAGAGCAGAGCGTCTGTCTCAGCTCACCACATCACAGTCTTTGGTCTGACCCCAGACCAGAGACACGGCCGTTAGCCAGGGTCCGTCCTCTTCCTCAGTCTGGGTCTCGTCTGGGCCTGGGTCTGGTCTACATGTGGTTCCACTTGTGTCTAATGCAGTCAGAGTTAATCAGAGAGTTTCTCCTGAAAACCCTCATGATGGCGGTAACTGAGAGGTCAGAGGTCAAACCACAGCCTCAGCTCCTGTCTGTGGGTCTCATGGGGTCACACTGTGTACTCTCACCCTCCTACTCTCTCACTCTCCCCCTCAGTCACCCTCTCACTCTCCCCCTCATTGACCCTCTGGACCATCAACACTGTCAGTGCTGCAGCTCACATACAGTTTGTGTGTCTGTGTGCGTCTATGTGTGTGTGTCTGTGTGTTTGTTGGTGGATTATTGTCAACAGTCTCTCATTAGATCTGTCACTGCTGCGTATTATTCACAAATATGTTTTGAGTGAGAGTGTGTGGGTGTGTTTGTGTGTTTCTGTGTGTGTCAGTGTGTGTGTATAGGTGTGTTTGTGTGTGTCAGTGTGTGCATGTTTATGTGTGTCTCTGTGTTTCATTGTGTCAGTGTGTGTTTGTGTATTTGTGTGTCTCTGTGTTTCAGTGTGTGTGTGTGTGTATGTGTGTTTGTGTGTCTCTTTGTTTCAGTGTGTGTGTGTGTGTATACGTGTGTTTGTGTGTCTCTGTGTGTGTCAGTGTGTGTGTTTGTGTGTCTCTGGTTCACGTCCTGGTTCACACCTGATCACCGGTTTATTTCCCCAAACACATGTATCTAAAATATACACATTTCTGGTGATGGTCTAGTGTTGATGGTCCAGAGTGTTGATGGTCCAGCGTTGATGGTCCAGAGTTGATGGTCCAGTGTTTATGGCCCAGTGTTGATGGTCCAGTGTTGGTGGTCCAGTGTTGGTGGTCCAGTGTTGATGGTCCAGTGTTGGTGGTCCAGTGTTGGTGGTCCAGTGTTGGTGGTCCAGTGTTGGTGGTCCAGTGTTGGTGGTCCAGTATTGATGGTCCAGTGTTGGTGGTCCAGTGTTGGTGGTCCAGTGTTGATGGTCCAGTGTTGATGGTCAAGAGTTGATGATCCGGAGTTGATGGTCCAGTGTTGCTGGTCCAGTGTTGCTGGTCCAGAGTTGATGGTCCAGTGTTGATGGTCCAGTGTTGATGGTCCAGTGTTGATGGTCCAGAGTTGATGGTCCAGAGTTGATGGCCCAGTCTTGATGGTTCAGTGTTGATGGTCCAGTATTTATGGCCCAGTGTTGTTGGTCCAGTGTTATTGGTCCAGTGTTGATGGTCCAGTTTGATGGGCCAGTGTTGATGGTCCAGTGTTCATGGTCCAGAGCTCCTGGGTCAGAGACAAAACCTCAAACGTTGAAAATAACTGAACCGGATTTTATTTCAGCCTCAAGTGGCTCCTTCACCACATCAGCTCATTGTTGCATTAAACATGGTCAGAGGATCTGAGTGTGACATCACCAGCGTGTGACATCACCACAGTGTTAGCCTAGATGTAGAAGAGTGAACAGAACCTAGAAAAGCTATATGGGCATTTTTTTGGAGAGCATTAGCTTCATGCCGTAACAGGGGCTGACGTGTTGCTAAACTGTGGGTGTGCCGCAGGAAAGTGTCAATTAAAATATCTGGACTTTAAAAGGTTGTGACTCAAAAACTAAATTTACTCTCATAGATTAGAAAAAGATTTTTCAAACACAGACACATCCAAGAGAGAGTGTGGATAAAACCAATAGAAAAGATTGATAAATACATTTTTGGCAAACTTTTAAAAACCAGATGAGCCTTGGATTTGATGATTCTACTTTATTTAAAAGGAATAATTTTTGACAAAATTAACAATACAAATATAAATGACCCTTGAAAATGTGCAACGGATGTGATGGCTTCTGTCAATTTTTGAGAAAAATAATATCGTCTGGTATCATATTTAATTGGTCCCCGGTCTGTTCACTTTGTTTCTCCTTTTGTTTTTTACTGTGTGTAAATGAGACGCTAGAACATGTGACTAATGCATACAACTGTTCTTTTCTGGCAACTACCAATGAACAGAAGAGGTATTTTGATAAATGAAAAACATCATATATATCATGATTATTGGTCTTCTGTCACACTTTTGTACCTTTTAGTGTGAACAATCTCCAGTCCTTTTATGTCCCATGTATGAATTCACAAAGACTATCACAAAATAAACCCCAGGATCACAGAGAGCCAAAAACCACAGATACTTTAAGGCCTGAAAAACTCAAAAATCCAGTGGATAAACCCTGCTCCAGGAATAAAGCTCTAATGGAACTCCCTCCCACCAGAGTGTGTTAGACTGGAGCAGGTCTGAGCCACAGCTGCTTCTTGGTTTTACAGCTTTTACAGATCCGCTCAGGGTCTAAACACGGCACACGCTTCATTTAGAGGCACCGCAGCCCGACTCAGACCTGCTCCTGGACAATTATCCCAAAATGAAAAGTTAAAGTGGTGTATTTAACCTGCAAAGTCCTTCTGAGAGTGTTTTATGAGGCTCCTGGTTCCAGAGTCGGCTGCTGCGGTGGCAACAGCACTGGGTCAAACTTAAGAAACTTTATCATCGATCTTAATTTAACCAGGAAAGCCACACTGACACACACTTTTTTTTCTGGTCTATTTCTATGTTCTCTCTCTGATTTCTGGTCTCTCTTTGGTCTTTCTCTGGTCTCTCTCTGGCCTCTCTCTGGTCTCTCTCTGGCCTCTCTCTGGTCTCTCTATGGCCTCTGGTCTCTCTCTGGCCTCTCTCTGGTCTCTCTCTGGCCTCTCTCTGGTCTCTCTATGGCCTCTGGTCTCTCTCTGGCCTCTCTCTGGTCTCTCTCTGGCCTCTGGTCTCTCTCTGGCCTCTCTCTGGTCTCTCTCTGGTCTCTCTCTGGTCTCTCTCTGGCCTCTCTCTCTCTCTGATCTCTGGTCTCTCTTTAGTCTCTCTCTCTGATCTCTGGTCTCTCTTTAGTCTCTATCTGCTCTCTCTGGTGTCTCTCTGCACTATCTCCTGTCTCTCTCCTACGAGTATCTATGTGAATACTAAGGATAGAAGATAAACTGTTATAGAGCCATTACCTAATGACTTTGTGACTTTATTGTTTTATTCTGAAAGTTACGAACCCTAGCTTTAAGGATGTGGGGGTCCCTCTAGTGACCATGAGCCCTGTGCAGCTCCCTGACTGTCCAAGGCTGGGGTTTCACCTCAGGTCTTGTTCCTTCTGGCCTGTTCCTTCTGTTCATGCCCAGAGACAAATGTTGCACGTTGCGAGTTTACTCGCCGAGCTCCACGCCCAGCTTCGTGTTTCAGAGCCAGACTTTGTATTTGAATGGCCAATTAGCAGAGGATAGACTTACAGTGGAACCCGTGCACAAAGACCCAGTCCTCCACCTGCCCCACTGGGACCACAGACTGTATACAGAGGCACAATGCTAACACAGACTGTCTGGTTGCTCTCTGGTCTCTCTCTGATCCCTCTCTTCTTGGTCTCTCTCTAGTCTCTCTCTCTCTGGTCTCTCTCTGGCCTCTCTCTTCTTGGTCTCTCTCTGGTCTCTCTTTAATTTATTTACTTTATTTTACTTTATTTGAGCTGTTTACACAGTACATACAAGGACAAATGATAACTACAGTTGTGTATACAATCAGAACTTAAAAAACATACTGTATAGAGCTCAAAAGGAGCAAGCAGAAGTAAGGAAATACTTATGAGTGCTTGCCCCTCTCTTCTTGGTCTCTTTCTGGTCTCTCTCTGGTCTCTCTTTTCTTGGTCTGTCTCTGGTCTCTCTCTTCTTGGTCTCTCTCTAGTCTCTTTCTGGTCCCTCTCTGATCTCGGTCTTGTTGTGTGAAGTCAGGTCACATTCCTCTAGTGTTTTCCGTTTCGTGAGGATAGTAAAAGCCAACCGCAGTTGTCATAAATCTATCACACTGTTGCTGAAGTGGAATTCTTACATCTACTTGTGTATCATAAAGACAAATGTTTTCTTTGTAATATGCAAATTTGTATTAGATTCTTTTTCTTTTCATATATTTTTTGTTTGATGTATTTTTCACATACAGACGAACCTTTTTTACTTTTTTAATTGTAATTGACTTTTTAGTATTATACTAGTGCGCATGTGTTACCGTGTGACCTATGTTTGGCGGGTTTTGGTTCTCTATAAATAAACGGGGACCTAACTTTTTGGGGGAATCTCCAACTATAATTTGCCTCTTTCTGTGTCTCTCATCCCTCTCCCGTTTGGTACGCTACATTGGTGGCAGCGGTTCCGCCGTCACCACCTGGGTTGATGTACGGTAGTGGCGGCGGTGCGAGACGGACAGTTGTGCCTTGCTTTTTGTAATTTTTTGGTGGGCGAGTCTGTCCTGACGGTGCCACCCGCCATTATGCTCTCGCCATATTTTTGTGTTGGTGTGGGACTGGAGTGATGTGGCGTGTGCTATTCTGAGGCTCTTCTCAGCTGGGGCGATGTTCCAGTACCGGACTGAGCACGTAGCTCGGGGCCGCTGATGTCCAGGATCGGACCGTGACATGTGCGCATTGGTGCCCGAATCCAGCGCCGTCCCTCGGGAGCCACCGGATTGTGGTTGTGCCTGTTGGGGTGCCTGCTGACGTGTGTGTTCAGAGTCCGTAATTCTGATTTTCCCAGCGCGTCCTACAATCCCGTGTAATGGACGTTCTGATGATTTCCTGTGTTCCGGTCGGCGGAGTTCGTGGTCCGGTTCTTCGCCAGTCGTCTACCTGCTGCGGGGAGTCCAGGCTGCTGCAGGATCGCCAGTTTTTGGATATTGGAGGACGCTGGGACTTTGATGCTATTTTGTACGTTTTTATGTGTGTGTTTTGCATTATTTCAGTTACAGTCATGAGGACATGTCTTGTTAAAGGGGGGAGGGGGTATGTAAACGACTTTTTAGTATTATACTAGTGTGCATGTGTGTTACCGTGTGACCTATGTTTGGCGGGTTTTGGTTCTCTATAAGTAAACGGGGACCTAAATTTTCGGGGGAATTTCCAGCTATAATATGCCTCTTTCTGTGTCTCTCATCCCTCTCCCGTTTGGTACGCTACAGTATTTTGACTTAAATTATCTTGAATAAAGAAGCCCAAGACCAGAGAGAGGCCAGCAAGACCAGCGAGAGACCAGAGAGAGACCAGAGAGAGACCTAGACCGACTAAGAACTCGGCATCCAACCCATCTTCCGACCTACTCTTTTCCATCCAGATTTAGGTGTCCCTGTCTGGTCTCTGGTCTCTTTGATGTCTCTCTCTGGTCTCTTTCTGGTCTCTTTGGTCTCTGGTATCTCTCTCTGGTCTCTCTTTCTTATTTTTCACAGAAAGTCGACCTGTAATCCACTTGGAGAATGATAATTTGACCTCATTGATGTTGCGTCACATTTCTGACAATAACAAACAGACTGAAGCCTGAGGTGGTTCCACCTGAGCAGGTGAGGCACAGTCCACAGTCACACACACTGTGACACACACTAAAACACTCACTGACACACTCTCATATACACACACACACACACACACACACACACATTAACACCACAGCGCCCCCCAGTGGCAGAGTCTAGACTCGCACACTAATCATATTATTTGAATTGGTTGCTTCATTAGAATCGAAACATTGGCATTAGGTCACAGGTTTGTTATTCTTTCAATAATTTTCACACACACTCTCCTTACTCACTCACACACATAGACACACACAGAGACACACAAAGTCACACAGACACGCACTCACACAAAGACACAGAGACACACACACATGTGTTTTAATCTTCCCCGTCTTTATTCCCAGATGACGTAAAGACCCCGTCTGCTCCTCATCGCCCTGAGCTCCGTCCTCTCACTGCTCTGGACCAGCATCAGCAGGTAGGACTCTTTACACTAGTACTACTACTTCTGCTACTGCTACTGCTACTGCTGCTAAGGCTACTGCTACTGCTACTGCTGCTGCTACTACTACTACTACTACTACTACTGCTACTACTACTCCTGCTACTGCTACTGCTACTGCTGCTGCTACTACTACTACTACTACTACTACTGCTACTACTACTCCTGCTACTGCTGCTAAGACTACTGCTACTGCTACTACTACTACTACTGCTACTTCTACTACTACTACTACTGCTACTGCTACTGCTGCTACTGCTACTCCTACTACTACTACTACTGCTGCTGCCACTACTACTACTACTGCTACTACTATTTCTACTACTACTACTACTGCTACTACTACTACTACTGCTACTGCTGCTGCTACTACTGCTACTGCTACTACATTATTTTCCATACTGCGAGCTGACACATACACACCAGACCCATTCTAATGTGGGTGAAGTGTCTTGCCGAAGGACACAGAACCACAGTTTGGCACTTTACAGCTCACTGTGGCACCTGCTGTTCCCAGAGGTCTCCCATCACAGTACTAACCAGGCCCTGCCTTGCTTATATATTTATACATAACTGTTCATGGATGTGCAATAGTAAATATCCTCCTGTCTCCTCCTGTGTCTCCTCCTGTGTCTCCTCCTGTGTCTCCTCCTGTGTCTCCTCCGGTGTCTCCCCCATTGGAGACGGGTCCCGGCTCCAAGAGGTCCAAGAGCACGTGCGATGACATGTTGCAATTGTTACAATGTCACTCTGGGCCACTGGGGGTGGACCTGAAATAAGAATTAGCCAATGCTTATGCGCGTATCTTTTTTCCTCTCAAAAACGTCTTTACAGGACGGTCCAAAAGCCGCTCTTGGGCCAAAGCAACGTTCCTCATGTGAGTCAATGCTGACGGGAGTTGTCTTTAAGACCAGTCTAGTTTAACGCTGTGGACTTCAGAATGCACTCATTAAATGAATGGGGCTGGTGCTGGCGGACGCTTGCACAAAGGCGTTTTTTCACATTTTCCAGCCCCCGCCGCCATTTCGAGAATGCCAGACAGAATGCAAAAGTGGTGGCATATAGGTTTCAATGGCGGAGATAGGCGTCACTACTTCCGTTAATATTTACAGTCTATGGTCTCTCTGTGTGTCTCCTCCTGTATCTCCTCCTGTGTCTCCTCCTGTGTGTCTCCTCCTGTGTCTCCTCCTGTGTCTCCTCCTGTGTCTCCTCCTGTGTCTCCTCCTGTGTCTCCTCCTGTGTGTCTCCTCCTGTGTCTCCTCCTGTGTCTCCTCCTGTGTGTCTCCTCCTGTGTCTCCTCCTGTGTCTCCTCCTGTGTGTCTCCTCCTGTGTCTCCTCCTGTGTCTCCTCCTGTGTCTCCTCCTGTGTCTCCTCCTGTGTCTCCTTCTGCGTGTCTCCTCCTGTGTCTCCTCCTGTGTGTCTCCTCCTGTGTCTCCTCCTGTGTCTCCTTCTGCGTGTCTCCTCCTGTGTCTCCTCCTGTGTGTCTCCTCCTGTGTCTCCTCCTGTGTCTCCTTCTGCGTGTCTCCTCCTGTGTCTCCTCCTGTGACACAGGGGCACTTGCTGTTGATTGCTATGTATGAATGAACTCGAACGGGATTCCACATCCTCCGTGGCTGCAGCCTTTTGGAGCAGCTGCGGCCGCTTTGGACAGCGGCTTGTTGTCAGTCCACCGGCTGCCTGACAACAACACGGCAGCGCGCAGCTGTAACGTGGCCATGTACCCTAGACCAGTGTTTTTCAACCACTGTGCCGCGGCACACTAGTGTGCCGTATGATATTGTCTGGTGTGCCGTGAGAAATTCGTCTACTTTGTCTAAAAATAGCTGCATTCGCTGTTGACGAGCGGTGACTTGTTTTGAACTGTGAGTAACCATGTAATACTTTTTCAAATCAGTAGATGGCAGCAGATAGCTAAGTACTTTGAAACTGAAAAATTGGATGCGACCACTGGCTGTAACAGGTCAGCATTTGTGGCGAGAAAGGTAAAATTGGATGCGACCAACAAATGTGGGAGGGAGCGAGACAAGAGCTTTGTGGCGAGTGAGAAGTAAAAGTGATAGAGACGTTTTTGAAAATGAATTATGCCGTTTCTGAACAGGATTAACATCCTCCGCTCTGCCCCGGGGCAGCTGTGGCCGCGTTGTAGTGGTTTAACTATGAAATGTACGATTTTTGTACAACAGCTCTCGCGAACGCACTTCTGAACTGGGTACCGAGCGCAGACCGTAGTCAAGTGGACAGAACCATAGACATGCGGACCGGACAGAACCATGGACTCGCGTTCAGGACCTCCCGTGTCCCTCATCCAAAACTCCTGAATTTAAAGCTCGGATACCAAAATGTTTCCCATGCACTAACAATGCATGTTCTTTGTGTGAGTTATTATTTGACTATTTGGGCAGAGAGTGGATTTTCTTAGTTTTTTTCCACACAGTTAGTGCCACTTTATTCCCAAACTCTTGTTAATTGTATCGAGAAATATTAAATAAAGCTTAATTTCAAGGCCTGGACTTAAGCATTTTGATGAGAATAACTGTATATTGTGAATATAGGCTACAGAGTATACTGTATACATTATAAGATAAGATATACTTTATATATCACACAGAGTATGTACAGTATATATTTTTTTACATTAGTACTGTATACATTTTTACATTTTCTCCTGGAGGTGTGCCGCAAGATTTTTTCAGTGAAAAAAGTGTGCCTTGGCTCAAAAAAGGTTGAAAAACACTGCCCTAGACCATATACACCCACAGAACCATGTACCCTAGACCATATACACCCACAGAACCATGTACCCTAGACCATATACACCCACAGAACCATGTACCCTAGACCATATACACCCACAGAACCATGTACCCTAGACCAGTGGTTCTCAAACTTTTTACACCAAGTACCCCCTCAGAAAATACTTGCCTCTCCAAGTACCACCACAAATGACCAACACTATACAGTAGCGTAGTAAGCCTAAGTATTCATCAGAAACAAGGCAGAGGTTTCATTCCTAAAGAAGCTTTTGTACATGCTGCTCCTTCTACATGGAACGTGTTGCAAAAAGACTGGAAATGATCTGACTGTATTTCATTGAATGCTCTTAGATCCAGATTGGGAGCACTTGAGACATCTTCAGTGAAATGTAACTGTTTTTATAATCAGTAATTTTATGGAATTGTATGTGACTGTTTTATAATCTGTATGCAACTTTTTTATAATCTCTAATTGTATGTAATTGAAAAAGGGAGTCCTGTGTTTGGGCGCGTATGTATGTGCGTTCCACATGGTCTGTGTCAGCTCTGGAGACACATTTACTGCTCAAACTGCCTCCAAATGTAGCCTGACTCTGACTATATTACTCCATGCCTGCTTCAACTCTGTCTCTCCTGCTCAGAGGGTCGGCACTAGATCATATACGGAATCGGGACGAAACCGGAGGTAACAATCCTTCTTTCGAATTAGTTTTAGACTAATAAGTCCTTAAGTGGTGACTGGTTAAGTTTTAGGCGTCTGGGTAAGATGGTTAAGGTTAGGCTGGGTTGGGGTTATTTTATGGGAATGGCTGGTTAAGTTTAGGCATGAATAGGTAGTTTGTTATGTTTACTTCCATGATCTAGTGCTGACCCTGCTCAGAGTGCTCAGGCAGTGATCTTTGACCAAGACACCCACAGAGCTCTGCTGCCACCTGCTGGCTTCACCAGTTCACGCAATAAATACAGCGCTGCAAGAAACAGCCCTCTTCTTCCTTGTGTCTCTTCCCAAAGCGCAACTAAACTCGCTAAATTAAAGCTGGGGTATGTACATTTTTATCTTGCGTTAACAATTCATGTTGGTTGTGCCCAAAAGTAAAATGTTTTGAACAAATCAAACAGATTTAATGACAGCCATTGGCTGACGTTATGCATTTCAGACTTCTTTGAAATGTCCCTCATCCCCGTAACCAACAATATGGTGCTATGTATCCATCCATCCATCCATTTTCTACCCTTTAATCCATTTCTGGGTCAGGGGGGTGGCAGTCAGAGATGCCACCCAAGTCTCATAGCACCAGCCCCTCACTGACCCTCTGCAGGTGGTGAGTCCACAGGAGGACGGCTGCTCTAAGTGTGAGCATAGCCTTGATCTTTCAGTGGGGGCTTTGGGCAAAGTGGGGTTAAGTGTCTTGCCCAAGGACACAACGACAGCAGTCATCAGTGGGAGTCGGTGGAGAAGGTGTAGAGGTGGGAATTGAACCCACGACCTTCAGGCCTGAAGGCCAATGCTCTACCAACTGAGCTACTGTCGCCCCATGTGGTGCTATGTAGTGACATGTTAATTAATCTCAATGTGGACCCTCGCACTTTATTATGATTGTTGAAACTGCATATATCCTGAGCCTCTACAGTATGTGCTTCCGCATACTGTAAAAATAATCATAACAAAAAAACATGAAAAAAGAAACGGCCGGGCTGTCAAGGAGGTAAACATGCCCAGACCGTTTTTTGGTCCCAGTCCAGCCCTGTTTCTTCCTGTGTATGTTGCATTAATTATTCATATTGGTGACCAAAGCTACACACAGGTTTTCATCAATTTCGTCGAAGACAAAATTATCGGAGATCAAAGAGTCAATTGCTGCTATATATTTATTTTGTTTTCTAAAAGTGTTTTTGGTGAACTGAGACTTTCAGAGCAGTGTTAAATGTTTTAAGAATTAAAATTGTATTTGTATTTTAAATAGTCTATTTGCCACTTTGATGCCATTTGTCCTTAATTAAGTGGCAAAAACTTCAAAATCTACCTCTTTCACCTTTGGTCTTGATCTTTGGGTTATGACTGAAAGGAGGAGTTCACGAGCTCCACATGAGTTTCTCTCACGTGGGATAGAGGAGCTCAGTCACACACAGGAACTCGGAGTAGAGCCGCTGCTCCCTTAGAGATAGAGAAGCTCATTCACACAGGAGGATCTCAGAGTAGAACCACTGCTCCTCCACATAGAGAGGAGCCAGGAGGGAAAGACCAGGAGGAGACCAAGGGAAGACCAGGAGGAGACCCAGGACACAGAGGTGTCACAGATTGGAAAGCCTCAGGATTGTATGGGCAAAGTAAACATGTTTGTGAGAGCGCTGCTCTCAGCGACAGAGATTTTGAGGATTTCTCTCTTTCCAAGTGTCTGTTACATAATCCACTCCTAATACTTCAGATCACAAAGTTCACCAGATTTAGAGTTTTTCCCCAAATTAAGATAAAGAGCCTCACACAGACCTGTAATCTGTTTAATCCATCTATCAGCTGCATTCTTTTGGTTTTGTATAGGAATTATTTTGGAGCACAATGTGAAAACTAGTGATAGAACCACCTGGTCTCAATATTCTCTCTCTGGTCTCTCTCGCTGGTCTCTCTCTGGTCTCTCTCTGGTCACTCCTTCTGGTCTCTCTTGCTGGTCTCTTTCTGATCTCTCTTACTGGTTGCTCTCTGGTATCTCTCTCTTTCTGGTCTCTCTAAAATGTACATACCCCACCTTTAAAGTAGTTCTAGTAGTAGCAGCAGTAGTAGCAGCAGCAGTAGTAGCAGCAGTAGTAGCAGCAGCAGTAGTAGCAGCAGTAGTAGAAGTAGCTGCAGTTGTAGTGATAGCAGAGTTGGAAAGAGTGCAGTTAGACAGAAAGGTTGGGGACATGTGGATTGTGTTGTGGAGGTTTATGAGGCTGAGCAGATGTGAGACGCTGTGTGCTTAAGGAGTTCAAACAACAGATTAAAACACAGGGATTAGGAGGAGGGAGGAGAGAGGGGGAGAGAAAAGAGAAGGAGACAGAGAGGAAAGAGAAGAGAGGGAGGAGGGGTGAGGGGGGAGAGGAGAAAGAAGGAGAGAGAGTAGGGGGGTGGAGAGTGAGAGGAGGAGGGGGGAGAGGAGAAAGAAGGAGAGAGGGTGACCAACTCTCTTTAGGTCAGACACAAGTCCCATCTCTCTCTGACTCCTATGACTTCCTTAAATTTGTGGTTTCTCTGTGATCCTGCGGTTTATATGTGATACAGTGGCCCAGGACCAGAGGGGAGAGAGGGCACGTAGACGTAGAGCTTTGACTGCAGATGCTGCTCCCTCTTCAACAGAACATGTGAACCGGACCTTGCATATTTGTAGCTCTGCACCTGGAGAGGACACAGCTCCTTTTCTGGTCTCCCGCTCGTCTCTCTCTGGTCTATCTCTCTGTTCTCTCTCTCTGGTCTCTCCCTGGTATTCACTGCAGCTTGGTTCATTCATAAATCTGCTCTTGGCTCCTGTGCAAGTCTGCAGTTATTTCTATCTTTGAGCAGCTCATTGTGTGTGTGTGTGTGTGTGTGTGTGTGTGTGTGTGTGTGTGTGTGTGTGTGTGTGTGTGTGTGTGTGTGTGTGTGTGTGTGTGTGTGTGTGTGTGTGTGTGTGTGTGTGTGTGTGTGTGTGTGTGTGTGTGACTTTCACACTGGTCTCTCTCTGGTGCTCTCACTTCACTGGTGCCGTTACCGCGGAAACCAGCCGGATCCGTGACTGAGGAGCTGACCCTGGTCCTCTGTGCCTGATGAGAAACAGGAAATACAAACATCTCCCTGGTCTCTCTCTCTCTGGTCTCTCTCTGGTCTGTTTCTCTGGTCTCTCTGGTCTCTCTCTGGTCTCTCTGGTCTTCCTCTGGTCTCTCTCTGGTCTCTCTCTCTGGTCTCTCTATGGTCTCTCTCTGGTGTCTCTCTGCTGTCTCTTTCTGGTCTCTCTGGTCTCTGGTCTCTCTGGTCTCTCGTTGGTCTTTCTCTGTTCTCTCTCTGGTCATACACACACACACACACACACACACACACACACACACATATCTGCTATGATGAAGAGAGAGAGCAGAGGGAGATTACACAGGATCCTCGTCAAAGCTCACACAACAATCATCTGGGAAATAATCCACACACAGACACACACACACACACACACACACACAGACACACATACACACACATACATGTCAGACTGCATAAAACTGTTCATATTCATAACCTCCATAATCCATATTTTAGTTCTATTTTTCCTCATTGTTGTGGCTTCTGTTTGACCTGTGTGTGTCATGACCTGAGCAGTCACATGAGGCTGCGTCAGTCCGCTTTAGACATGCTATAGACCTGCTTTAGACCTGCTTTAGACCTGCTATAGACCTGCTTTAGACCTGCTATAGACCTGCTATAGACCTGCTATAGACCTGCTATAGACCTGCAATAGACCTGCTATAGACCGGCTTTAGACCTGCTTTAGACCTGCTATAGACCTGCTATAGACCTGCTTTAGACCTGCTTTAGACCTGCTATAGACCTGCTAGAGACCGGCTTTAGACCTGCTTTAGACCTGCTTTAGACCTACTTCAGACCTGCTTTAGACATGCTTTAGAACTGCTATAGACCTCCTTTAGACCTGATTTAGACCTGCTTTAGACCTGCTTTAGAGCTGCTTTTGTCCTGCTTTAGTCCTGCTTCAGACCTGCTTCAGACCTGCTTTAGACCTGCTTTGGACCTGCTTTAGTCCTGCTTTAGTCCTATTTTAGATCTCGACCAGATCTGGTCTCTCTCTCTGGTCCCTCTGGTCTCTCTCTCTGGTCTCTCTCTGGGATTTCTCTCTGGTCCCTCTTGTCTCTCTGAGGATGAATCTTTTGATGTGTGATTGACAGGCAGGATGACGAATCAGATCGGCTCAAAAGAGAAGGAGGCCGCGCCGCGGGATGACAACACAGAGATGGCCTTTAAGGACGCGGGACACTGCAGCCGCAACACACACAACCTACTACTGGGGTTCACCGTGGGAGGTACACAAACACACACACACACACAAACAACCTGCTGCTGGGGTTCACCGTGGGAGGTACACACACAAACAACCAACTGCTGGGGTTCACCGTAGAAGGTACACACACACACACACACAAACAACCAACTGCTGGGGTTCACCGTAGGAGGTACACACACACACACACAAACAACCTACTGCTGGGGTTCACCGTAGGAGGTACACACACACACACACACAGCTCTAATGCAGAAGTTTGGGGGTGGAAACAGGATCGTTTGGGGCTGCTTTTCTGCAGAGTGCACAGGATGACTGTTCCTGGAGAGGATGGGACCATGCATGACCACCTGCCCTGTAAGCACCGTTCTGATCCCCTGGTCTGAGTCAGGGTTTCTCCAAACGCTGTAGAAAGTGAAAATCCCCAAAGTTGAAGACGTGGGTTTGATTCGCAGCCGTTAAACGTTAGAAATGAGATCTGCAGTAAATCCTCTTATATTGAAGCGAATATAGAATGTGTTTAGTTTCTCCGTCGTTAAATTAAATGTGATCCAGACGTATGCGGTCCGTGGGAACAATGGACTATAAAAGCCTCCGCCACCGCAGAACCATTAAGAACCATCGTTACACTGAGACACCATTAACTCACAGCAACTCTGTTTACTGCATCTGAGGAACCAAGGAACATGTGCAGTGTTTGGTCTCTTTCTGGTCTCTCTGGTCTTTTTCCTTTCTCTGGTCTCTCTCTGGTCTCTCTCTGGTCTCTCTCTCGTCTCTCTCTGGTATTTTTCCTTTCTCTGGTCTCTCTCTGGTTCTCTCTCTCTGGTCTCTTTCTGGTCTCTCTCTAGTCTCTCTCTCTGGTCTCTCTCTAGTCTCTCTCTCTGGTCTCTCTCTAGTCTTTTTCTTCTCCCTGGTCTCTCTCTGGTTATTTTCCTTTCTCTGGTCTCTCTCTGATCTCTCTGGCCTCTCTCTGGTCTCTGTTGTCTCTTATGGTCTGTGGTCTATGATGGTCTCTCTCTAGTCTCTGGTCCCTGATGGTCTCTCTGTTCTCTGTCAGGTGTGGTGATGGGAGCAATCTTTGGGATGCTGCTCCGGTACATGTTGGTCACAGATCTGGCGGCCCTCACGATGGTGTCGTTCCCTGGAGAAATCCTGATGAGGATGTTAAAGATGCTGATCCTGCCCCTCATCATCTCCAGTCTCATCACCGGTAACACACACACGCACAAAGACAGACACACAAGCACACACACACACAAGCACACACACACAAGCGCACACACACACAAGTGCACACACACACACACACACACACACACACACACACACAAGCACACACACACACACACACACACACACACAATCTAACCTGTTTGGATATTGTTTTAAGAGTGTGGTCTCTTCTTTTGGCTCTGGTCTCTGGTCTTACCCGGTGTCTGGTCTTAGCTCTCTGGTCCAAACCGGTCTCAGGTCTAACCGATCTCAGGTCGGGTCTCTGGTTTCAGGTCTAACCCGGTCTCTGGTCTCTGGTCTCTGGTCTCAGGTCTGGCAGGTCTGGATGCTCGCTCCAGTGGTCGTATGGGCAGCAGGGCCATGGTGTACTACATGTCGACCACAGTGATAGCCGCGGTGCTGGGGGTGATCCTGGTGTTGGGGATCCACCCTGGGAACCCCAAACTGAGGGGTGGGGGCAACACTGGTCCCTCCGCCCCCCGCAACCAGGAGGTCAGCAGCCTGGACGCCTTCCTGGACCTCATCCGGAACCTGTTTCCCGAGAACCTGGTCCAGTCCTGCTTCCAACAGGTACCTGGCCTTAAACTTGCATATTTGGTCTCACTATGGTCCCTCTGGTCCCTCTCTGGTCCCTCTCTGGTCCCTCTCTGGTCCCTCTCTGGTCCCTCTCTGGTCCCTCTCTGGTCTCTCTCTGGTCCCTCTCTGGTCCCTCTCTGGTCTCTCTCTGGTCCCTCTCTGGTCTCTCTCTGCTCCCTCTCTGCTCCCTCTCTGGTCTCTCTCTGGTCCCTCTCTGGTCCCTCTCTGCTCCCTCTCTGCTCCCTCTCTGGTCTCTCTCTGGTCTCTCTCTGGTGTGTGTACACTCTCCCTAATGGGTGAGTCTGTTGTTTTTCCAGCTGGTCATTTGAACCTAATCCACGTCTCAATCATGTTGTGTGTAAATCCTGGTGTTTGAAGCCGTTTGTGAAGTCTCCTTGTGCTGTAATCTCACTCTTCCACACCGAGCATGTAAACACAGAGGCTGACTCGGAGGAGATTATCTGCTCTCTCTGCTTTCTCTCGTAGCTCTCTCTGCTTTCTCTGGTATCTCTCTCTGGTCTTTCTCCCTGGTCTCTCTTTTCTTTCTGGTCTCTCTCTTGGCTGATTTCTCTGATGACCTTTACATAAACACAGGTGATATCTCATGGTATCAGTGATGTCACATAGTGTCAGTGTTAATCACAGATGAATGTTTGCAGGTGCAGACGGTGTTGAAGCTGGTTCCGATCTCTGTGTCGAACCAATCAGAGCCACTGATCGTGGGGAAGAAGAAGCTGGAATACAAATGGGGCATGAACGTCCTGGGTAAGTCTCTCTGGTCCTGGTCCTGGTCCTGGCCTTGGTTCAGTCTCCTCTCTCCTCTCAGGTCTCATCGGGTTCTTCATCACCTTCGGGATCTGCATGAGTCGGATGGGCGAACGAGGACGTGTCATGTGCGACTTCTTCAACATCCTCAACGAGATCATCATGACCATGGTGTCTATGATCATGTGGTGAGAGACCAGAATGAGACCACGGAGACCAGAGAGGGACAAGAGAGGGACCAGAGAGAGACCAGAGAGAGAGACCAAAGAGAGACTAAAGAGAGACTAAAGAGAGACCAGAGTGAGACCAAAGAGAGACCAGAGAGAGACCAGAGTGGACCGAGAGAAAGGCCAGAGAAAGAGAGCATAGAGAGACCAGAGAGAGACCAGACTGTGGTGACGTTTCTTTGCTCTGCAGATGTTGTAATGATAACACAAACACTCAGTGACACAATCATCCATCTCTCTGCGTCTGTTTGTGCAGCAGTTCTAGGCTCCGAAAGCACGCTCCTCCCAGCTCCTCTCAATTTGAGGGGTGAGGAGGGGGAGGAGCCTGTATGATCCTCCCAAGGGTGAGGGGGGTGCTGAGGGGTGAGGGGGGTGTTGTCTGTGTCAGATCCACAGTCACTCGTTACAAATTAAATGTTGTGATGACTTTATATTGATCACAAACTGATCTTTGGTTTAATGCTTTGAGGTTCACCTGCCGTGTGCAATGCTGTCAGGGTTTCTAAAGTGCAATGTCCTTCATCTGCACTTCAGTCACTCTATGCTCTCTGCTGCTTATTGTGTATTAACTGTTTAACTGGTCTTTTACCAGTGTGTCAATGTGTGTCCTTGCACTGGTGCACTGTGCATTATATACTATACTGAGGCATATCACGGTGTTGTATTGTACAGTTATTTGTTGTATTGCACAGTATTGTGTCGTGTGGGTGACAGTGGCTCAGTTGGTAGAGCATTGGTCTTTGGGCCTGAAGGCCCAAGACCTACTTCACGACTCCCACTGATGACAGCTGTCGTTGTGTCTTTGGGCAAGACACTTAACCCCACTTTACCTGAAGCCCCGCTGAAAGATCAAGGCTCCTGTGGACTCACCACCTGCAGGAAGATCAGTGAGGGGCTGGTGCTCTGTGTACTGGGTGCAGCTCTGACTGCCACCTCCCCGACCCAGAAAAAGATTAAGGGGAAGAAAATGGATGGATGGATGGTGTTGTGTTGCACAGATGGTGTCCTGATGTTGAATGTGTCAACTCCCCTGCTCATAGGTACTCTCCGCTGGGCATTGCGTCCCTGATCGCAGGGAAGATTGCGTCCATCGGGGACCTGGAGGTGGTGGCGCGGCAGCTGGGGCTGTACATGGTGACGGTGGTGGTTGGTCTGCTGATCCACGGCGGACTCATCCTCCCCGCCATCTACTTTGCCATCACCAGGAAGAGCCCTTTCACCTTCTACTCTGGCATCTTCCAGGCCTGGATCACGGCTCTGGGCACTGCCAGCAGGTATCAGAGAGTAAATCAGAGAGACCAGAGAGAGACCAGAGATAAACCAGAGATAAACCAGAGGTTAACCAGAGAGAGACCAGAGAGAGACCAGAGAGAGACCAGAGAAAGACCAGAGATAAACCAGAGAGACCAGAGAAAGACTAGAGATAAACCAGAGGTTAACCAGAGAGAGACCAGAGAGAGACCAGAGAGAGACCAGAGAAAGACCAGAGATAAACCAGAGAGACCAGAGAGAGACCAGAGAGAGACCAGAGATAAACCAGAGAGAGACCAGAGATAAACCAGAGAGAGACCAGAGAGAGAGAGAGGAAATATTTAGAAATGCTTTCCGCCTGTAAGGGAGAGCGAAGCGTTAGACAGCAGCTGTGTGTGTGTGTTTGTTTGTGTCTCTCTGTGTGTGTGTGTGTGTGTGTGTGTGTGTGTCTGTGTGTGTATAGACACTTGGTCAGAACATGAGACTTTATGATCTGCAGCTGTCTCTGAACACAGCTCCAAGTGTTTATGATGTGATAAAACAACAGGAACTAGTAGAATATGCAAACACATGACTCAGAATGACAGAGGAACAAGCAGAACATGCAAAGACATGACTCAGAGACAGAGGAATTAGCAGAACATACAAACACATGACTCAGAGAGACAGAGAAACTAGCAGAACATGCAAACATGACACAGAGACAGAGAAACTAGCAGAACATGCAAACACTAGGGCTGTCAAAATTATCGCGTTAACTCACGTTCATAAAACTTTTCATGTATGCGTTTCAAAAAAATTGACGCGTTTAACACATGTTAAACGCATGTTGTTTGCTATGAACTGAAGTCCGCATCCTCCCCGGCCGCAGCGTTCTGACCCGGGGCAGCTGCGGCCGCTCTGGTTGTTGTTAGCTGGCTGCGAGCCGCTAACAACAACCATGGTAACGTGGTCATATCCAAGGCCATACACGCACAGAACTATTTTCTGCACGTTGTGTGCGTGTATTTGCGTAACTTGTGCGCGACCTGTGCACGCATATACACCTCTGAAGCTGAACTATGGAGCCTCAGGAAGTGTCCATGTCTCCTCCTGAAATGCAACTAAATTCGCTAAATTAAAGCTAGGGTAAGTAAATTTTCCCTTTCATTAACAGCTCATGTTGGTTGTGCCCAAAAGTAAAAGGTTGTGAATGTAACAGACTTACGTACGTACATTTGGTATGAATGACAATGTGTCATTACATTTGATAATCTCATTTACCTTCAATTGGAGTGGATTTGAAATAGAAGGTTATAAATGTTAAGAGTTAACTCACCATTACTATGCGATTAATCAACTAAAAAAATGTAATCGTTTGACAGCTCTAGCAAATACATATTACACACAAACACATACAGTTCCATTTAAAGAGTTTTGATAACATCTTTCCCTACTGTGTTGTGTTGTTGTGTGTAACAGTTGTGCGTCCCCACAGTGCTGTGACCTTCTGTGTGTGTAACAGTTGTGCGTCCCTACAGTGCTGTGACCTTCTGTGTGTGTTTGTAACAGTTGTGCGTCCCCACAGTTCTGGGACCTTCTGTGTGTGTGTGTAACAGTTGTGCGTCCCCACAGTTCTGGGACCTTCTGTGTGTGGTGTAACAGTTGTGCGTCCCCATAGTGCTGGTACATTTTGTGTGTGTGTGTGTAACAGTTGTGCGTCCCCATACTGCTGGTACATTCTGTGTGTGTAACAGTTGTGCGTCCCCACAGTGCTGTGACCTGTGTCTGTGTGTAACAGTTGTGCGTCCCTACAGTTCTGGGACCTTCTGTGTGTGTGTGTAACAGTTGTGCGTCCCCACAGTTCTGGGACCTTCTGTGTGTGGTGTAACAGTTGTGCGTCCCCATAGTGCTGGTACATTCTATGTGTGTAACAGTTGTGTGTCCCCACAGTGCTGGGACCCTGCCTGTGACTTTCCGATGTCTGGAGGAGAACCTGAAGATAGATAAACGTGTGACTCGGTTTGTTCTCCCGATCGGAGCCACCATCAACATGGACGGAACCGCGCTGTACGAGGCGGTGGCGGCCATCTTTATCGCTCAGATGAACGACATCACTTTGGACGGAGGCCAGATCGTCACTGTCAGGTCAGGGGTCAGAGGTCACTGTCATGTCTGAGGTCTGGGGTCACAGAGAGCAGGTTTATTCCCTTTGTGTCCTGGGTCTCCTCCTGGTATCCCAGGGGCTCTCTCCACATGGAGGAGCAGCAGCTGTACTCCAAGATCTATCTGTGTGACTTAGCGTTTTTGGAGGAAACGCATTACCCAAAGATCTGGACCAGAGGTGAGGAAGGGGAGCTCTAACTGCAGACGCTGCTCCCTCTTCACCACAACAGTCTAATACAGTAACCGGTTAATGCTGATTCTTCTGTCTAAAACCTGACAAAATACAGTCATTCAAACAAAAGCAAGAGGAAGATGGCGGCTGTAGCCTCCCGCCTAATGCTTGGACTGTCATGTGGTAGAACTGCAAATATAATAGATTTAATAAAAGCAAATAGAAAATCAAAATCCGGAATAAACAACAAAAGGAAACCAAACAGAGGTTGAGGACAAGAACTAAAACAGACGTGGAAGACAATGACGGGACAGGGAGTGAAGGACGACACAGGGTTTAAATACAATACTAACGAGACACAGGTGAGACACATGAGACTAACGAGACACAGGTGAGAAACATGAGACTAACGAGACACAGGTGAGACACATGAGACTAACGAGACACAGGTGACACACATGAGACTAACGAGACACAGGTGAGAAACATGAGACTAACGAAACACAGGTGAGACACATGAGACTAACGAGACACAGGTGAGAAACATGAGACTAACGAGACACAGGTGGGACACATGAGACTAACGAGACACAGGTGAGACACATGAGACTAACACGACACAGGTGAGACACATGAGACTAACGAGACACAGGTGAGACACATGAGACTAACACGACACAGGTGATACACATGAGACTAACGAGACACAGCTGAGACACAAGACTAACGAGACACAGGTGACACACATGAGACTAACGAGACACAGGTGAGACACATGAGACACAGGTGAGACACATGAGACTAACGAGGCACAGGTGATACACATGAGACTAACGAGACACAGGTGATACACATGAGACTAACGAGACACAGCTGAGACACAAGACTAACGAGACACAGGTGACACACATGAGACTAACGAGACACAGGTGAGACACATGAGACACAGGTGAGACACATGAGACTAACGAGAAACAGGTGAGACACATGAGACTAACGAGACACAGGTGACACACACAAGACTAACGAGACACAGGTGATACACATGACACTAACGAGAAACAGGTGAGACACATGAGACTAACGAGACACAGGTGACACACACACAAGACTAACGAGACACAGGTGATACACATGAGACTAACGAGAAACAGGTCCTGGGATTCAAACCCAGGACTTAAAAACAACATTCTCTTCACAGATCACATCACTGGTCCGGTCCAGGACCTCGGTCTCTTGAAATGCCTTGTGTATGATTTGTGCTTTACAAATAAACTTGCCTTGCCTCATGAGGCAGACACAGCAGTAAGTGGGACCTGCTTCAGATTAAGGGTTCCTCATGGTCCTGTGTTTTTAGGGCGTGGTAAACACAGAGACCACGAATTCAGAGGCATGGGTTACATTAGGACAGAGTCACAGCTGTATGTCTTCAGAGAGAGAGTATGGAGAAACCTGCAGAACATCTGTGGAGTCATCAACACTGTCTCACTCTAGTCTCTTTCGCTGGTCTCTGGTCTCTTTCTGGTTTCTTTCTGGTTTCTTTCTGGTTTCTCTCTGGCCTCTCTCTGGCCTCTCTCTGGCCTCTCTCTGGCCTCTCTCTGGCCTCTCTCTGGCCTCTGGTTTCTCCTCAGAACGTGTCTCTCTCCTCAGCATGACAGCGACCCTGGCCAGTGTAGGAGCTGCCAGTATTCCCAGTGCTGGGCTGGTTACCATGCTGCTGATCCTGACAGCGGTGGGACTGCCCACTCAGGACATCAGCCTCCTCATCGCCGTGGATTGGCTCCTGTGAGTGACTCCTCCTTCTCACCTTCATCATTCTACTGTGTTTTACTAGATGGTTTTATACAAGTTTGATTGTTCTTACATAAGTCTATTCAACTCCATGTATTAGTTTAGGACAGTTACCATACTTCTCCAGCAGGGGACTTTATATGCAGCGTCACTGACAGTCTGTGTTTTTAGAAATAAAGATCAATTAAACACCAGTGCCCAGCCTGACTCCCACAATTTGAAATTGAAAATTCACTATAAAAAGGTTGTTGCCTGGAGCTCCAGGGGACAGCTCTAAGCCCCCCTCGTTTAGAGCTGGGTCTGGCCTGTGATTGACAAGCCGACAGGTGTCATTGCTGCTTAAAGTAATAGTTTATACACCCAAAATTCTCATGATAATTGTAGAGCTATACACCTGAACCTAAACCACAGAGCAGTCGTGGCGGTCAAATAATGTAATTTGATTTTAGACCAATAGATGTGTGATGGACGTCACACATCACTCCAGAGCCAATGGAGAGGCCAGGCACCAAATTCCAATGAGGTGCCACCGAAAATACCACAACATATAAGGAACATTTTATACAATTTATGAGTTAAATATAAAGTTTATTTGGTGTTTATTTATCCTTTAAGGTTGTATTTCTAAGTCTCCCAGAGTCTTGAGGAGCTGATAATGTGAATGAAAGGGATGGGGCGCTGTAATTACTTAAACACTGTTTTCCCACTTTAATGGTCTCTCTCTCTCTCTGGTCTCTCTCTGGTCTCTCTCTGGTCTCTCTCTGGTCCCTCTCTGGTCTTTCTCTCTGGTCGCTCTGCGGCCTCTCTCTCTGGTCTCTGTCTCTGGTCGGTCTCTGCTCTCTGCAGTGACCGGATGCGTACCTCCATAAACGTGGTGGGGGACTCCTTCGGTGCTGGTATTGTGGATCACTTGTCTAAACTGGAGCTGGCGGAGCTTGATGCGGCCGACCTGCAGCTGGTGCCGGCGGTGGAGGAGGAGCTGGACTTTGTGCCTCCTCCTCCGGTGTTGACGGAGCTGGTGGACACTGACTTCCCTCTTCGGCCTCCGGAGCTGCCACCGCGCTCGCCTCGGCCTCCCAAACTGAACCACCACACACTGTCACAGCACTCCATCACCTACTCTCCGGCTCGCTCCGTTCGCTCAGTGCGCTCGCCATCTCCTCACTCTGTGCGCTCGCCGTCTCCTCGCTCTGTTTGCTCCCACTCCCCACGGCCTTTCAGAGCCCACTCCCCACATCTGCTGCGCCGCGTGGAGCCGGGATACTGCCCCCTGCCCAGCAGCGACAACCAGGTGAGACGCAGGGTTAGTCTGCTCTGCAACCAGGTGAGACAGAGACCAGCACAGGGTTACAGGGAGCAGAGTAGAGCAGGGCAGGGCTATTGCCGAATCTGGATTCATGAAATACTTCCTGTTTCCTTCTGACTGTGTGGTTTAGAATGGACCTGATCCAGGTTTAGACGTGTTACATCAACACCTTTTAAGATGTTTTAGATTCCACAAACATCACAATGTCCTGCTATAAATGTAGGAGCAAGAGTTAGAGAGGGTTAGAATAGAATCAGAATCAGAATCCTTTTATTGCCATGTGAGTAACAGGAAGTCACAAACTAGGAAATTGCTTTGGCTCTCGGTGCAAACAAGTTAAAGCAGAATAGAATCAAAGGCATGCATAAATAAAAACGTCTTCACTATATGTAATGTCGGTTCACTATATACAATGCACACAATATCGTGTGGGCGACACGGTGGCTGAGTGGATTGCACTCTCGCCTCTCAGCAAGAAGGTCCTGGGTTCGAATCCCGGTCGGACCAGGGCCTTTCTGAGTGGAGTTTGCATGTTCTCCCCGTGTCTGCGTAGGTTACCTCCGGTTTCCCCTACCACTAAAAATATGTCCAATAGTTCTGGCATATGCCTCCTGTACTGGCGACCCCGCTCCCATCTCTGTGTGGAGTGACAGACAAATGCCCAAAATTAACAATTGTAAACCGCTTTGAGACTCAGATCTGCAGTGAAAAGGCGGTATATAAATAAAGATTACTACTACTATAGACTTTTAAGAATGTGGTTGAGTGCAGTAAAGTGACGTCATAAAGGCAGAGGTCAGTGATGGATTATGAAGTGTTCAAGAGTCCAACAGCAGAGGGGAAGAAACTGTTCTTATGGCGGGAGGTTCTAGTCCTGATGGACCGCAGTCTCCTGCCTGAGGGGAGAGGTTGGAATAGTCCATGTGCAGGGCGAGAGGGGTCAGCAGTGATACGACCAGCCCGGCCTCGAGCTCGATGGTCCTGGAGCGATGGGAGGCTGCGGCCAATCACCTTCTCTGCAGAGCGCACGATGCGCTGTAGCCTCTACTTGTCCCTGACTGTGGCTCCAGCGAATCAACACAGTGATGGAGGAGGTGAGGATGGACTCGATGATGGCCGTGTAGAACTGCACCAACATCTGTGCAGGCAGCTTGGCTTTCCTGAGCTGCCGCAGGAAGTACATCCTCTGCTGGGCCTTCTTGATGAGGGAGCTGATGGTCGGCTCCCACTTGAGGTCCTGGGTGATGGTGGTGCCCAGGAAACGGAAGGACTCCACAGAGGTGATGGGGGAGTCCATCACGGAGGGCGGGGGTCTGTGCTCTTCCTGTAGAGTTAGAGAGACTTAGAGAGGCTTAGAGAGTTAGATAGCGTTAGAGAGCGTTATAGAGGGTTAGAGAGAGTTAGAGAAAGTTAGAGAGGGTTTTGAGAGTTTGAGAGGGTTAGTTGAGGGTTAGTGATGATTAGAGAGTGTTATAGAGAGTTAGAGAGAGTCAGAAAGGGTTAGAGATTACACATAGTAATGTTGGCATCCTCTGCCCTGGAGCTGTAATAGTGGCCCCATGCCTAATGAGGTTCCTCCCACGTCGCCTCACTTTACAGGGGTTGAAGCCAGCTTCATCCACATAGATGAACCCATGATGTGCCCCCTCAGCTTCAAGCTCCATTATACGCTAAAGAAAAAATCAGAATCCGAATCAGAATCAGAATCATTTTTATTGCCACGTAAGTAACAGGAGGTCACAGACTTGGAAATTGCTTTGGCTCAGTGCAACAGTCAGAAAGAGATAATAAAAAATAAAGAATAAAAAACACTTCTAAGGAATACATTTAAATTTAAAATAGAGTTACAGTTACTATTTACAATATACAAGTGCACATGGTGCACACAATGTAAAAAAATAATAAATACAATTGCATACAGTAAAAGTAACTCCAGTTTACTGTAACTGCATGATAAGCCAAGGCATAAGAGTATACATAGTTCTTTAATGTGTCCTTACTTCCACATATTAGCATCTGGCCTCCTTCACAGCATCTCACTCAAAGTATTTATATTTCTAAGTACCTCCTGATCTGCACACGTACTCCTCTTCCCCCGAGCCCTCTACCTCTTACTCTCACTCTCATCTGCCTTAGACCTTCCATGCTTGCAAGTTAGCAGAATCAGTCAGCCTCCAGACTGATTGCAAATTGAAAAGTTGTCTGAATACAATACAATACAATACAATTTATTCTTGTATAGCCCTAGGTCACAACAGAAGTCATCTCAGAGGACTTAACAAAACCATTGAAATCACCAACACAGGTCAGAGAATCAACAGTTAAAACACATGAGTCTTACCTTCCTAGCCATATGCTAAACTAAAGAGGACTGTTTTAAACCTAGCCTTGAATAAAGAGAGCATATCTGAAAGGAGGTGAGACAGCAGCAGCCACGGCTAGGCTAGTCTAGGCTACAGCACCAAGATTCATGGATTGCACACCAGGTGTATACATGATATACAACATAACACATTGTATAATATATAACATAATACAGCATATATATATATAATATATACACCATATATTATATATTACCTAATTATATGCTAAATTAAAGTAGAGTGCTTTAAGCCTGGCCTTGAATGTGGAGACCGTATCTGCTTCCTTAACATAAATGAAGCTGATTTCACAGTAAAGGAGCTTGGAGCTAAATGCTCTGCCGCCAACAGTGATTTTTGAGACCTTAGGAACCACCAGACGTCTGGCGTTTTGTGAGCGCAACGCTCGACTTGGTTGATACGACACTAACGTGTCTTGGAGATAAGGGGGAGCCAAGCCATTTATGGCTTTATATGTTAAGAGAAGGATTTTAAACTGTATTCTGTACTCCACAGGGAGCCAGTGGAGGGATTTTAACACCGGAGTTATGTGCTCCCTCCTTTTGGTACCTGTTAAGATCCTAGCTGCTGTATTCTGAACGAGCTGGAAGCTCTTCAAAGAGGCTTTAGGGCACGCTGCCAATAAAGCGTTACAGTAGTCGAGCCTTGAGGTGACAAACGCGTGAATAAGTTTTTCCGCGTCACTTTTAGGAAGGAAATTCCTAATTTTAGCGATGTTCCGTGAGTGGAAGTACGCCGTTTTAGTTGCTTGGCTTATATAAGCCTTGAAGGAGAGTTCTTGGTCAAAAATTACTCCAAGATTCCTCACAGTGAAGCAGCTAAAGCAAGGGAGTTTGGACGCTTGAATGACATCTGTGTTAACTGATTTGCAAAAGAAGTGTGTCAAAACAATGTTGAAGACTGAGAGGTTACCACTTTCTTCATCCAGGTCAAAGCAATCCAAAAAAAAACTATATCATAGAGATAGGAGCACGGCTATCCCACAGAGGAGTTACCAGATGTGTGATGCTGACCTCAGCCAGGACTGAGGCTGTGGATCCATGATTGAGGTTGTGGATCCATAATTGAGGCTGTAGATCCAGGACTGAGGCTGTAGACCCAGGACTGAGGCTGTAGACCCAGGACTGAGGCTGTAGACCCGGGACTGAGGCTGTGGATCCAGGACTGAGGCTGTGGATCCAGGACTGAGGCTGTGGATGCAGGACTGAGGCTGTAGACCCAGGACTGAGGCTGTGGATCCAGGACTGAGGCTATGGATCCAGGACTGAGGCTGTAGACCCAGGACTGAGGCTGTAGACCCAGGACTGAGGCTGTAGACCCAGGACTGAGGCTGTAGACCCAGGACTGAGGCTGTAGACCCAGGACTGAGGCTGTAGACCAAGGACTGAGGCTGTAGACCCAGGACTAAGGCTGTTAATCATTGTTTCTTTGTCTAAATTTTTACGTTTGGACCCACAGATCCTGTCCCAGCCGCGCTCCTTCAGAGAACCCGACCGTTATCGTGAGCGCGACCGTGAACGCAACCGTGAACGCGACCGTGAACGCGACCGTGAGCGCGACCGTCTGCGGCGTGAGAGCGAGACTGAGGACGACGAGGACAGGGAGCGAGTGCTTGACATCAGTGACGGAGAAGAGAGCGACGACACGGCGTACGACCGCAGACACGCCCTGTCCGCCTGCGACCTGCCCTGACCTCTGACCTCATAAACACTGACGTGTAAAAGTCTTCATACCTTCACACGTCTGTTGATGCAAATCTGCTGCTCTGCACATCTAGAGACTAAAGGTTTTGCCTTTTTGTGATGTTACTGTATATGATCCTCAAGACTTTTCTTACGGAAATGTCTTGTATTTTACTCCCTCCACCTTCATACACTGCCACTCTTCCCTGTCCCTGCTGAAGAAAAGCAGCCCCCCTATGGTTGACACTGAGTCTCCAATGACAGATGTGTGTGTCCCCGCTTTGCTTCTTGTTGCTTTATTTCCACACTTATTTACAACTCGTAAATAAAGGCCAGATTGGTGTAGTGTAGACTCATATTTACCCTATGCACAGATTCCCGCAGATGAGCTGCAGCTCCTCCAGAGAAACCATGTGTCTGCATCGCTGATCAGTGTTGTCCTGGTTCGAGCAGTGAGTTGGGACAGGCATCAGAGTCTTGGTAGGTTTGCAGCTGTCTCACACTTATGGGGTCCTCACAAACACACACACACCCACACATTATGGGGTCCTCACAAACACACACACACCCACATATTATGGGGTCCTCACAGACTTACAAACATTTGATATTGGCCTTAAATGAGGACTTACTTTCCAAACTGGTGGTTTTCTGGCTTCCCTCTCTCTCCTGACTTCTCCTTGCTTTTCACATGTTTCGTGCACATTGTGTTTGTCTTTCATAAAATCAAATAACTGTTTGTGATTGGAATGAAACATGTGACCATGTTTCTTGGAAAATTGTCCAGTATTACTCCAAACTCAAAGGGTCTTAATAGTCCTGTTTTCACCAGCCCTGCCTGGTCTTTCTACTCTTCCAGGTCCAGCCCCTGGTTCCATCCAGGCCGAGCTGGTACTAATGAATGAATGAATGAATGATTGATATCTTTAAATGTCCAGCAAAGTGACAGCAAAGTGATCCTTCAGATTCTAATGCGTAATGAAGACACAGGTAGAGACGGGCAATGCAGAACCCAAACCCAGCTCTCACCAACCCACAGAGTCTGACTCTGTGATGAACAGAGTAGTATAGTGCTGTATAGTTTAGTATAGTGTAGTATAGTTTGGGAGTGGGTTAGGGGTGTGAGACTGGCTTTGCACACTGCACCATTCTCTTTTCAACTCCTTGTCTTCACAACATAAAAAGAAAATGTATTTTTGTATTTCTCCCTCAGTCTCCTCTTGTTCTGCAGAATATACTTGTTGATTTGTTCATAAGTTTTGGCTGTGTGTGTTGTTGTGTGTCACTGTGTGTGTGTGTCATGTGTGTGTTGTGTCTGCGTGAGTTTGGCTTTTGAGATTTTGTTTTATGTTGTAGAATGTGTAACTGGTCTTTTAAATGGCCGAGTCCCAAAAGCTCATGTGTATACTATAATAAAGATCGTTGACAGAGATGCATTTGCATTTCCTTCACACCAAGACCAGAGAGAGAGAAACCAGAGAGAGTTTATTGTTTTCTTTGTTTGGTACAGTGGCTCAGTTGGTAGAGCATTGGCCTTTGAGCCTGAAGGTTATGTGTTCGAGCCCACCATGAAACCTTCTCCACCAACTCCCACTGATGACTGCTGTCGTTGTGTCCTTGGGCAAGATACTTAACCCCACTTTGCCTGAAGACCCCGCTGGAAGATCAAGGCTATACTCACACAGATAGAGCAGCCATTCTCCTGTAGACTCACCACCTGCAGAGGATCAATGAGGGGCTGGTGCTATGTGACTTGGGTGGCATCACTGACTGCCACCCCCCCAACCCAGAAATGGATTAAGGGGTAGAAAATGGATGGATGATTGGGACAGTACATGTTAATGAACACATCACTCCGGGTTGTAGCCTTGGACTGCACTCAACCATACACTCATTTACCCTGAACTATTGCACATACGCAGACACAGGGAGAACATGTAAACTCCACTCAGAAAGGCCCTGAGAGACCAGAGAAAGTGTGAAAAGTGATTTTACACAAAAGGGGTGATGAGGCTCCGGTCCCCACAGCTCATGTGGCTGCTGTAGTGAATTCTTTGACAGAGAATTTTCTTTGTTTCCTTTGCTCTAAGAGTCTAAGAATCTAAGAGTCCCATCTGCTCAGGATTTAAAGCACATGTTAGCAGCTCCAGATGAGACATCTGCAGACGAAGCTTCACAGACTGAAGAGGCTCCGTAATCCTCTGAGAGACACCAGCACGTAACAGTTTCAGGACCAGAGAGGGGCATCTCTCTGGTCTTCCTGTCTGCTTTCTCCCTCTGGTCGCTCTATGGTCTGTCTCTGGTCTTTCTCTCTGGTCTCTCTAGTCTCTCTCTGGTCTCTTGTCTATCTCTGATCTCTCTCTAGTCTCTGTGCTGTTGATCACATGGTTGAGGGAGTCTTGCGAAAGTAAAATGTTGTGAACAGATGAGACCTCAACATGTGTGTCTGTATGTGTGTGTGTGTGTCTGTGTAAGTGTGTGTGTGTGTGTCAGAGTGTGTGGGTGTATGTGTGTAATTCAACCCCAAAGCACGCAAACAGCTGCTGTGTGGATCTGAGCATAAACGGCGACACCTGCTGGTCACAGTGTGGTAACGTCTTTATTTGCAATAGATAGAATATAATTTGTACATTATAAACCACACATTCACACACAGGTCATCATTAATTATAGTTAGCTTTAGCATTAGCCTCTGTCACAGTTAGTTAGCTTTAGGATTAGCCTCTGTCACAGTAGTGTGTATAGAACAGTGGGGACGGGTCCTGGCTCAAAAAGGTCCATGAACACGTCCGCTGACATGCTGCAATCTCACTCTTACCCGGTGTGGGTGTACCCGAAAAGAGAATTACCCAATGCTTTCCTATGGCATCTTCTTTCCTCTCAAAATGGCTTTACAGGCTGTATTTTTATTTATTTGGACCAGTCTAGTTTAGCCGCTGTTGACTTCAGAATGCACTTGAATGGGGCTAGTGCCGGCTAACGCATGCGTTTTTCACATTTTCCTGCCCTGCGACCAAGCCAGACAGAAGGCGAAAGTGATGGCACATTCGTTTCAACGGCGGAGATAGGCATGGCTACGTCCGTTAATATTTACAGTCTATGGTATAGAACCTGCTCCAAACAGTCCTCCATGTTAAGTCTGTCGCAGTGAATATTCTAAGACAAAAACAGGATTAATAACACATGACGTCACCACGCGATTGGACCATTAGAAATACACAAGACTGACGTAACTATGCCTTAACTTAAGTGAATCTGCAGAAGCGTCTCATAAATACGTCTATAAAGGCGTCAGCAGGTGGCGCTACAGACTCACATCAGACACATACTTCATCGGATCAGAAAAATGTCATCAACGAAGGAGCCCTGTGAGTCAATATCTAACTCTTTGGGCTTAGTGAGGGTGGTCCACTCTCGTCCACAGAGAGAGACCAGAGAAGTGATCAACGGAAACTAACACAATCGATAATCTGTGTAACGCGACAAGTTGTTTTAGTTTTTTCAGCACACTGTGGCTGAAGGAGAAGACACATCATTCTCAAGAAAGGCCCTAGACTTTGGCTCTGAACCAGAGCAAACGCAGCCTCTGAGACCCGAGGCTAAAGCAGTTTGTCAACAAGCAAACCGGGTCAGAACATCTCAAACGCTGGTGTTCTGGCTCCAGGTCAGTGGCAGAGTTCAGACCTGTGTGACCATTGGCCCCCCATGCAGGAACCCCAGCACTGTCCCATTCACAGGAGCACTGTTATTGGGCTCATACAGCGGCGACAGCTCCTCACCCGCGGGCCAGTCCTCCCCCTCCTCACCCTCCTCCCCCTCCTCCCCCCTCTCCCACACCCCCGCATCCACATGCTGGTACTGTGTGGTGTCCTCACACTCCATGCCGCGGTGGTAGAAGTAGCTGAAGTTGGAGACAATGACGGGAACGGGCAGCGAGATGGTGAGGACCCCGGCGATGGCGCACATGGAGCCCACCAGCTTCCCCCCCACGGTCTCAGGGTACATGTCGCCGTACCCCACCGTCGTCATGGACACCACGGCCCACCAGAAGGCCTCAGGGATGCTGGTGAACTTGGTTTCGTCCCGGTCCACCTCAGCAAAGTACACGGCACTGGAGAAGAGGATGACTCCGATGAAGAGGAAGAAGATGAGCAGAGCAAGCTCGCGCAGACTGGCCTTCAGGGTCTGACCCAGGATCTGCAGCCCTTTGGAGTGACGCGACAGTTTGAAGATGCGGAACACGCGCACCAGGCGGATCACGCGGATCAGCGCCAGCGACACAGACGGCTGCGTGGTGGGGTCTTTCCCCAGCTCCGTCCCGATGGTCACGAAGTACGGCACGATGGCGAACAGGTCGATCACGTTCATCACGTCTTTGCAGAACAGCAGCTTACTGGGCGCACAGAAGAAACGCACCCCCAGCTCACAGGAGAACCAGCAGATACAAATGGTCTCTACCAGGAAAAACGGGTCCTGGAACGGGGAGAACTGCGGCGGCTGCTTTATTGTCTGGTTGGCGATGGTCGGGTGAGGAACCTCTCTGTACTTCTGCAGGGGGAGAGAGAGACTGGTGAGGAGAGGTGTGAGAGAGAGAGAGACCAGCGAGAGATCAGAGAGATAGACCACAGAAAGAGACCAGAGAGAGACGGAGGCCAGAGAGAGAGAGAGAGGTCATAGAGAGACTAGAGAGAGAGAGGCCATAGAGAGACTAGAGAGAGAGAGACCGGACAGAGAGACCAGAGTGAAGGACCAAAGAGAGAGACAGAGATCAGAGAGAGAGACCAGAGTTTATTCCTTTGAATGGGACTGGACCACTATGTGAGACGCGCCTGAAATGAACCACAGAAGTGTTGATGTGTCTGAATGTGGCTCACAACAGAAAGTGGAGCCTTGTGTGGCCATGGCAACAGAGTAAACAATAATGTCCTGAACCCCCCCTCAACTTCCCCTTCAAATCCCCCCTCAGAGTGTGATACAGTGACACCTCTGCTTTCGACCAGTTTTCCGATGACCCTCTCTTTAACCACAGACACAGCCCTCTGTGAATGCTCTGTGCTCTCACTACACCTGAACCCCCCTCCCTTCTGAGCCCCGGTGAGAACCCCCCTGGTGTGTGGAGACAGACTCACACAAATCACTAGGTTCAAGGAGTCTCTGGGCCTGGTTTAGTCCTGGTTTATACCTAGTTCATACCTGGTTCATACCTGGTTCAGACCTGGTTGTAACTGTAGCTTCAGAGGCTCAGATGTAAATGTCACACAGTTATGACAGCGTTTACTGCTCTGGGCTGAAGACCAGGGGCCTCTGTAACAGAGACCCGAGAGACCACAGATAGACCAGGGAGAGACCAGAGAGAGAGACCAAAGAGAGACCAGAGAGAGACCAAAGAGAGACCAGAGAGAGAGACCAAAGAGAGACCAGAGCATGTGTCTGTCTCCCTCATCAGAAGGTGGGTGCTTCTTTCTGCTTGTTTGTGGCGCGTGACTCCAAGAGTATTAATACTCTGCTCATGTTGGATCTGTTCTATTTCCATCTCCCTCTGAAGTCTCCGCCTCAGAACCTGAGCCCTGTCTCTGCTCCTCACGCTCTGCTGAGACCCTGAGAGTCACTGCTGAAACCCTGAGAGACACTGCTGAGACCCTGAGAGACACTGCAGACACCCCTGAAAGACACTGCTGAGACACTGAGAGACACTGACAAACACCTGCTACAGACGTGAGAAAGAGAGAGAGGTCTCTAGAGACTGCAGCAGAAAAAAACGTTTAGAATATTAGGATTGATCATCCTTCCTCTCTGGTTGCTCTCCGGTCTCTCTGGTTTCTCTCTGGACTCTCTCTGGTCTCTCTCTAGTAGCTCTCTGGTCGCTCTCCGGTCTCTCTCCAGTCTCTCTCTGGTCTCTCTTCGGTCTCTCTCTCTCTGGTCTCTCTCTCTTGTCGCTCTCCGGGCTCTCTCTGGTCTCTCCCTAGTCTCTCTCTCTGGTCTCTCCCTTGTCTCTCCCCTGTCTTACCTGTATTAGAAAGCAACACAGGTCTAAACCACACGCCAAGCTTTCTTGGTGGTGTCCCGGGTCAAATACACGGGTCAATTGCCATGTGTTGCTGGTATCACAGCTCTTTGAACAAGCTCCTCTAGTGTCTCCTTTGAGGGGAACCTGATCTTCTATCAGACATGATGCAAACCATTCCAAACATCTCGTATCGTGTTTGTGTGGGAACTGAACTAACTCTGCTCTCTCTCTGATCACTCTCTCTGGACTCTGGTCTCTCTCTGTTCTCTGCATGGTCTGGTCTCTCTGGCCTCTTTTCTCTCTAGTCTCTCTGGGGTCTGGTCCCTCTGGTCCCTCTGGTCTCTCTGGTCTCTGGTCCCTCTCTGGTCTCTCTGATCTCTCTCTGGTCTCTCACTGGTCTCTCTGGTCTCTTGTCTCTGTAGTCTCTCTGATGTCTGCTCTCTCTGGTCTCTGGTCTCTCTGGTGTCTGTCACCTCCTCTGGGTTTAGCTGTTCCTGGATCATATTTAACGAGTGAGTCCAAAATACTGTGTTTAAAGTTGTCAGATTTGAGACCAGCTGTGGTCTCTGTCCCTCACTTACACATGGAACACACCACTGTGCAGGTTATTTGTATAGCACACTTCCTTCCCAAGAAACATAATCAACTCCAACCCCAGCACTGTGTACAATCTATACTCAGTTCCAGGAGGAGCAGGAGGAGAAGTACCAGAGGGAAAATAGAGAGAGAGCAGAGAGAGGCCAGAGAGGAGGAGGAGACTCACCTCACGCTGCTCCTTCTCGAGCCTGAACTCTGGCAGCGTCTCAAGGCAGAAGATGAGGATGGAGACCACAATAACCATGACGCTGATGATGGCAATGATTCGAGCTCCTCCTGACGACTCAGGATACTCAAACAACATCCACAACCTCCTCTGGAGCTCGCCCTGAGGGAGAGCCCTCTCCTCCTGCAGAGACAGCCTCAGTCCTGGTCAGAAAGGGACACCAGAGAGAGAGACCAGAGAGAGACCAGAGAGAGACCAGAGAGAGAGACCAGAGAGAGAGACCAGAGAGAGAGACCAGAGAGAGAGACCAGAGAGAGAGACCAGAGAGAGAGACACCAGAGAGAGAGAGCAGACGATTGGGTCTTGTCTCTGTAAAGAAGTACCTCTTTGGCGAAGCCCTCGTCTTCCTTGAAGCGGTCGATCACGTCCTGTCCGAGCTCATAGAACCTGAGCTCCTCCATGAACATGTCCAGGGGGACGTTGGCCGGGCGCCGCAGTCTGCCTCCTGATTGGTAGAAGTAGAGGATGGCGTCGAAGCAGGCGCGGCTTCGGTCCAGGAACAGCTCGTTCCTCAGAGGGTCAAAGTACTGCAGCCTCCGTTTGGGGTCCCCTAGCAGAGACTCGGGGAACTGGGCCAGGGTCCGCAGCTGCGTCTCGTACCTCATCCCCGACACGTTAATGGCCAGGCGCTCGGTCAGAGCCCAGCCGCTCCGGCAGGACCTACTCCAGGCGGCGCGGCTCGGGGCCCGCGAGCCCTTCTCCAGACGGTTGTTCTTGTCTTTGGTTTCTTTGACCTCGTCCAGTTTCAGCTTCTCTTCACTCGTGCTGTCTACGTTGTCCATCTCAGAGAAATGTGTCTGAGAGAGAGACAGAAGAGTGAGAGAGAGACAGAAGGATGAGAGAGAGGTGAGTCAGAGAGACAGAGAGGGGTGAGAGAGAGAATCTGAGCTCCTCAGGTTCTCTCAGATCTCTCTCAGACCCAAGAGTGAGTCTGAGAGAGAGAGAGAAAGATGAGAGAGAGAGAAGGTGAGTTAGAGAGAGAGGGGTGAGTCTGAGAGAGAGAGACCTCACCTCTCTGGCCCCTCCCCCTGGTTCCAGTGTCTGAGACAGCCCTGTAACAAACAGAGAGCTTTAGTCTGTGACCTGCAGCAGTGTTTAGCTCTGCCCGTTTCCCACACTCCCCCGGCCCATGTTTCATCACACATCTCACGCATGCATGGCAGCCCAGGAATTTACAGGAATTGGAGCCATTTAGATCCTTCGATGTCGGCTCTTCCTATCATTGTGAAGCAGAATTCACCAAGTGTTGGATTGTTCACCCTCTTATAGGGAACGTGAGCTGGGGTTAGACCGTCGTGAGACAGGTTAGTTTTACCCTACTGATGATGTGTTGTTGCAGTAGTGCAATAATGGGAAGCTTTGCCAGCAGAGAGGATACCAGATGGAGACCAGATAGAGAGACCAGATAGAGAGAGACCAGAGAGAGAGACCAGAGAGAGAGACCAGAGAGCGAGACCAGAGAGCGAGACCAGAGAGCGAGACCAGAGAGCGAGACCAGAGAGCGAGACCAGAGAGCGAGACCAGAGAGCGAGACCAGAGAGCGAGACCAGAGAGCGAGACCAGAGAGCGAGACCAGAGAGCGAGACCAGAGAGCGAGACCAGAGAGCGAGACCAGAGAGAGAGACCAGAGAGACTAGGATTAAAAACCTCATCCACAACTACCACAAAGACCCCAGCAGTCATAAAGAGGAACTCTTTCGCACTAGGGGACGGAGATTTCTGCTCAGGGACAGCAGAGTCACATGACCACAAAAGTTTCTAACAAAATTTGCTAACAAAATCTCTGACAAAGTCTCGGTGTTAAACCATGTGGGAACAGTACCTGGTCTCAGCCGTGTGCGCTCCTGTCCGCGTCCATGCTGTGTGTGACAGTGCAATAGGACCCACACATGTCCCCTCACCCCCCTCCCCCCTCTCCCCCTTCACTCCTCTCTCTCCCACCCTCACCTCCACTACCCTCGTGTCGTTGTAGCTTGTATTGTGTGTTTAACCCTTACTCATATGTAGTATTTGGGGTAGTAGTGTGCATGTGTTTGTGTGTGAGTGCGTGTGTGATTGTGTGTGTGTGTGTGTGTGTATGTATGTATGTATGTATGTATGTGTGAGTGTGTGTGACGGCTGCTGACAGCGGGTGACCTCTGAGCAAGCCTGAGTATTTGCTCTGAGATTAACACATGCAAACTTTCACTACACACATGGACACACAAACACACATACACACACACACTACTATCCCAATTATTACACATGAGTAAGGGTTAAACACACAATACAATCCATGACTGAGACACGGCTTGACCATATCACAGACAGTGCAGTTTTGGTAAAAGAAATTACACATTTACACATCGTTGTTGTGTACAAGCCAGTGCAGTCATGTCATAGTTTCATTGATTCTTTTACAGAGTTGCTTTCAGATGTGTGCACAGACTTTGATGGTTTTGTCATTACAGGGAATTTTAATATACATGTAGATAATGTTAATGAAACCTTTGGTCTCACTCAGCACATGAGTGGCCTCACCCACAGCAGAGGGCACACTCTCGACCTCTACCAGAGGCCTGGGAGCTTGAGGGCTCTGCGCAGTATATTTTTGCTGTTCCTAGCACCGCGCATTTCTGGACCGAGATTTCCGAGGTTGTTCCAGTGATCTGCTGTAACCACTTCTCCAGCTTCACGGTCACTGCCCTGAGTGCAGCGCAGCAGCAGTATGGCTCAGTTGGTAGGGTGCAGGGCTGGAACCTGGGGGGCCAGGGTTCAAATTTGACCGGGAGCACAATAACACCTACAATGCGGGTCCTTGGGAAAGACCCTTAATGCAGCGTTCAGACCGGATCTTGCGTTGCGTATTGACACACGCAGGAGCTAAACATTGCTGATTGTTTCCTCTGGACGCTTGTGTAGCAAATGAAAATGGGGGACTTGTGAACATACTGCATAGATTCTCATGCTCCTGTGACTATACAACTGCCTTGAGCGTGTTCAACGATGCTGAGGTACCGTTTAATAATAAAATTAACCTACGGCGCACCTCCGTGAACACATACTGCTGTTGCATAAAGTCTCTGAAAGGTCTCTTGGCACAGAGACACTGCAGAGCTGCATTATTGGAGAAGAACTTTCCCCCAAAAGCCGTTAGCATCAAAGTCCGCCACTTCCGGCGGGCGCCACTGCAGCCCAGGACTTCTGGTCTGATCACCCCTGCGTCTGAAAAATAGAGAATGTGCGTCTGGTGCGCGAGGCTTCAGTGTTCCAGCGTTGGCAGTCTGAACGCGGCATAATGCTACTGCCTAACTCATAACCATGAAGGTACAAATAAACAATGAGATGCCAGCTCAGACGTTACCCGGCCAAACAAAGTCTGCGCCAGGTGCTGGGGAACCAGAGAAGTGGGCTACTGGGATAAGGTGAAAGTGGGTGAGGTGCAATTTATATATTTATTAACGTGGAATCAGCCTCAGCCACGTTCAGGAAGACCATGGTTAGAGACGGAGAGGACTGGGTTGGTGTTGCTCTGGCACTGCCCTAGTTGGTTTTAGTCCTGTCTACAAGATTACAAGGCTCAGATCAGGAGGAACCATCATGTACCACCCATAGTGACATCTGGCTGCTTTAGTCGACTCGTCTCGGCTCGTCTCTACAGCCTCAATCCTGGGTCACACTGTTGCTTTCCCTTCTGTTGTGTGTTGGTTGTGTTGTGACGTGTGTGTTTCCAGCCTCTAGAGGGCACCACTGCGTCTCAAACTGAAACCAAACAAATTAAAACTTTCTTTTATTTACAACAGTTCTACAAAAATAGTCGAACACAGTTGCAGCTTCAGGCAAAACAATAAATAACAACAACAACAATTGCACCTTTAATAAATTAAATGAATAAATAAAGTTGTAAAAATCCATTAAAATAGAAATAGAATTAAGGATAATTATGGCACGTAATAAATTAAGTCATAAATAAACATGAGAAACAGAGAGAAGGGGGACCAAAGGGAGACCAGACAGAGAGAGACCAGAGATCTGCTGGTGCCAATAACAACACAACAATAATAAATACAGCTATTCTAACAAAACAAACCGTTTCAAGTATTTTTCAGAAAACGAAACCAAAGTCCACAGTGTGCAGTAGACAGTGGGGGAGTGCGGCGTGTCCCAGAGAACTTTTCTTCTCAGAGAGTTTTTGTCTCATTCATCTTCATTTCTTCCTCTTGTTGTGAGTCTTTTTCACTTTCTCACTTCCTGTCCGTGGGAGTTTGCGTGTTCCACTGCTTTCAGAGACCAGGTCTGTTGCCAAGTTCACCAAACCACAACTAGCATGCTAAACAGCTCACTGGCCAGCTAGCATGCTAAACAGCTCACTGGCCAGCTAGCATGCTAAACAGCTTACTGGTTTGTTGTTGGGTCATTTGTTTTTGTTTTTTATGGTATCAGTTTCTTATGGATCGTTCCAGGAAATACAGCAAAAAACTCTGACTAAAATCTGACTTTTGACTTTCACCATAGTGACTGTAGTCACCATAGTTACCATGGTACTCTAGTCACCATTGTTATCATAGTTGCTGTAGTTACTGTAGTCACCATGATTACCATGGTATTGTAGTCACCATTGTAACAATGGTCACTGTAGTCACCATAGTTACTGTAGTTACCAATGTTACCATAGTAACTGTAGTCACCAGTTACCATAGTTACCCTAGTTACCAGTAGAGCTGTTTTGGCCATGCTCCACCATGATGTGAAACCATCGCTCTTTGGATCATTGTGATGCTACATGAGCACAAACTATTTCTCATGAATCATAAATGGCCAACGACAGGTCAGAGGTGGACCTGGGTCATGTCGGAGGGGGTCCCTGGGCGCTGCTCGGGGTCAGAGGTCAGTTCCTCTTCTTTTCCAGAGGGGGCGCTCTGCAGACGCTCACGCAGAACAAACTCGATCGTTTCACAGTAACACTGCAGCACAGCCTGAAGGAGGAGAGAGGAGGTGAGGAAGAGGAGGAGGAGGTCAGGACAGAGACAGGGAGAGAGACTCACTCAGACAAGACATAGGCCTCAACCCTCTCTGACCCTACACCTCTCCCTAATAATAGTCATGCATTGGTTTCACATTATTCTCTCACTCTGCACATGGTGGGTCTAATCTACTGCTGTAGCCACACATGCCCTGGGGCAGACTATACTTCTTGTGTTGAGTGTAATATCTTACTGGGTCGGTCTGGCAGAGGTGTGCCATCTTTTCGGTGGTCACTTCCTGGTTCAGGGCCCCGAGGCCCCTGAGAGCACAGCACAGAGCTCCAGCTGCCAGCAGAGAGGGAGGGGCCCCAAGGAACCGGCTGTCACTCACACACAGAGCACTCAGGGTGTCTGCATGTCTGCGCACTACAGAATCACTGGCCCACGATGATGATGTCACCGCCGCAGACAGGAAGTGAGGCAGGAAGTCCTGAGGCGTGATGGAGGCCAGGTCCCAGTGCAGGGTCGCCACGACAACACGCTCCATCTCCTGAGGGACAGTACACTTTAGGACCAGCGTGAGACCAGAGAACGAAAAGAAAAACCAGAAAGATGTTCTCTCTGGTGTAAAGATGTGACATAGAGACATGTTTTTTTACAGAGGTATATGTGGTTTGAAAGCTGCGTACACCAGCTTTAAGGATCATAAATATATAGATAAATCATCAGCCTGTAATTCCCACTTCTACCAGCAGAGGAACAGACTGTGTTTTAAAGACAGTGTTCGGACTGACCCGGAGGCTGCAGGAGCTGAAGCTGTACTCGGCGGCTGCACAGATAGTGTCCACAGAGAGGGTCTCGCACTCGCTCAGTTTGGATGCAATGAGGACACAGGCCGCAGAGAGACACACCGGAGACACAGGGGTCGAGAGGGACGAGGACAAGAACCTGTCCAAGAGGGAGACCGAGAGGGGAAAGACCTGCTCCTCACAGCCCGAGTCTGAGCACACCTGAGGGAGAGAGGAAAGAGGTGAGGAGTGAGAGAGGAGAGAGAGAGGAGGGGAGAGGAGAGAGAGAGGGGAGACAGGAAAGAGGTGAGAGAGAGAGAGAGTGGAAAGAGGAGAAAGGAGGGAGGGGAAAGAGAGAGGTGCTTCCTCACCTCCATGGCCCATCGGACCAGCTGGTCTCTGCTCTCTGGCGCCCCCTGGATCAGACTGGTGTAGAGCACTGAGGGCAGGTACCTCCTCTCCAGCATCAGCAGCCGCAGCACTGCCCTGTGGCCCACGATGCAGGGGTCCCAGGCAGCTGCGACCTCACGAGGACCCGGACCCTCAGGGACCTCACAGCAATCCGAAAACTGGACTGGACTCTGAACTGGTGTCTGGGTCTGGACTGATCTCTCTGTGGTCTGGGTCAGGCCTGGTCTCTCTGTGGTCTGGGTCAGGCCTGGTCTCTCTGTGGTCTGGGTCTGGACTGGTCTCTTTGTGGTCTGGGTCTGGACTTGGACCTCAGATAATCTGTGTTGGACCAGGTCTTCGTCCTCAAAAGTCTCTGTGTCTTCAGTCTCCTCGCACCACAGCGACACGGCCTCTTGCTTCATTTTACAATCCCAGCTTTAACTGAGTCTCTGTGGATCAACAAGAGACAGGATCAAAAACACACTACTACTACTGCGCTGCTGCTGCTGCTGTTCCACAAGCAGTAGATCCCAAAATATAGATACTAATACTTTACTATTTACCAATACCACTACTACTACTACTACTACTACTACTACTGCGGAGAAGCAGACTAGCTGTTATTACTACTGCTAGTCTGCTACTGCGGAATAACTTCAGATCAGACTAAATTGGCAGATTTCTGTTTCAAGTATAAAATCCTTCTCAAACAGCAACCTACCTCCCGGTCCTGGTCCTCCTCTGGTCCTGGTCCTGGTCCTGGTCCTGGTGCAGGTCCTGGTGCAGGTCCTGGTCCTGGTCCTCCTCTGGTCCTGGCGGGAGACTTGTGACTTGGTGAATGGTCGGGTTTTTTTTGGGAGACTTTTATAGCGACAGGGGAGTGGCACAAAGTTTGTAAAGAGAGAAGACACTGGGAGGACACTGTCAAACTGAGACAAAAGGAGGAGGCGGCAACAGAGAGAGACAATGTTCCAACAGGTGGGAGAGAGGGAGGAGGGAGGAGAGAGGGAGGGGAGGAGGAAGGGACCAGGCTGGGACCCAGTCTGTGAGGGGTCGGACCAGAGTTCAACTTTTTAATATTTTGTGGGAAAAAACTTAAATGAAATTACTAAAAGCAACATCACAAAAAATTATAACAAAATAAAAAAAATCCCAAATGATGATAAAGTGTATTGAACATTAGAAACAGTGACTGCAGTTAGAAAGAACAGAGAGACAACGGAAGCCATCGCTAATGTTAGCATAGCTGCTAGACATTATTGACCCAGAACTCTCCTTGAGTCACAAAAACCTGAGCTAAAACCAGAAATATCCTAAAAGTGAAGCAGAAAAACAAATCCATGCATTTGTCCAAAACACAACAGCGAGATCTGAACCGGAGCCAACAGGAGGAACACATCACTCCAGGGGTAAAGTCACTCTACTGTGAGTGGAGTTCTGTGGAAGAATTACATCTGTCTTCTAAGATTCCAGATTCCAGACGTCTGCTGGTTCCTTAAGTCTCCTAAAGCACTGTCGGCAGCAGAGCATTTAACTCCAAACTCCTTTAAGGCAAGGCAAGTGTATTTGTACAGCGCAATTCATACACAAGGCAACTCAAAGTGATGAACAAAACAAGAAAGCATTTAAATCATAAATAATCACACTACATTAAAAAGAAAGATAAAAACATAAAATCCCTCAGTTGTATGCACAACTAAACAGCACCGTCTTTAACCTGGTTTTAAACATTGTCAGAGAGGAGGCCTGTCTCACATCTTCAGGAAGACTGTTCCAGATTTTAGCAGCATGAATCTGAAAAGCAGCCTCCCCATGTTTAGTTCTGACTCTGGGCACTAACAGGAGTCCAGTCCCTGTGCTCCTCAGAGTCCGGGCTGGTTCATATGGGACTAACATGTCACTAATATATTTTGGTGCGAGGCCATGGAGAGACTTGAACACAAGCAGAGCTGTTTTAAAGTCTATTCTCTGAGCCACAGGAAGCCAGTGCAGAGACCTGAGAACTGGACTAATGTGGTCGTACTTCCTGGTTCTAGTCAGGACTGGAGCTTTAATGTGGAATCAGCCTCAGCCACGTTCAGGAAGACAGTCTCTATACTCCAGACTTAAAGCAGTCTTTACTTCAGCAGATGGTTCTGTAAGACTCTGGGAAGACTTAGAAATACAACCTTACGTCTAAACCATAGACTGTATATATTCACGGACAGAGTCACGCCTATCTCCGCCGTTCTAACTAATGGGCCAAAAAATGTGCTCTACTGGAGCAATCCAAAATGGCCGCGAGTGGTCCCGCCCACAAGAAAATTGTGAAAAAACGCATCTGCGCATGCGTCAGCCGGCGAGAGCTCCATTCATTTGAACGAGAGACTTCAAAAATTCACAGCAAGTAAACTAGAGTAGACCAAAAAAATCCACTCCCCTCAGCATTGACACACATATGGAACGGAGCTTTGGGCCAAGAGCCAACTTTTGGTCCATCCTGTAAAGACGTTTTCGAGAGGTCTGCCAATGCTATATGTTAGCATTGGCTAATTCTACTTCTGGGTCCACCCCCATCGGCCCGGGGTGGTATTGCAGCATGTCAGCGCACGTCATTTTGGCCACTTTTGAGCTGGGACCCGCCCCCACTGGTCTAAACACACATATTGTCAGTGACGCTGGATATAGAGCCCCCTGCTGGAGAGGTCTGGGAACAGCACTGTCCTCTTCTACTTCACCATCATTGAGAACAGCTGTAGTCAGTTCACTGCTATTCACCCGCTGTTCCATAATCTATTTTATGGTGTAATGCTGGGACCCTTGAACCCTCTCCCTGCCTGAGAGACGCCTCAGTCCTGGGTCTACAGCCTCAGTCAGGGGCAGCACAGTGGCTGAGTAGATAGCATTCTCGCCTCTGAGCAAGAAGGTTCTGGGTTCAAATCCCGGTTGGAATGGGGTCGTTCTGAGTGAAGTTTGCATGTTCTCCCTGTGCTTGCGTAGGTTTCCTCCAGGTACTCCGGTTTCCCCTACCACTAAAAACATACTCACTAGGTTAAATCCTCTAGCTCTGGTCCTGACCAAGTCGAGCACCAACATCTGGAGATGGGTTCCCAGGCGCTGTTACTACGGCGACCACTGCTCCTGATGTAAGCCTTAGCGGCATCAGGATGGGTCAAATGCAGAGGAGGAATTGCCCTACGGGGATCAATAAAGTGCACCTTTACCTTAGTCCTGGATCTACAGCCTCAGTCCTGGGTCTACAGCCTCAGTCCTGGATCTACAGCCTCAGTCCTGGGTCTACGGCCTCAGTCCTGGATCTACAGCCTCAGTCCTGGATCTACAGCCTCAGTCCTGGTCTCAGTTCTTCTGATGCAGCAGGATGATAACAATTACAAATTAATACTTCGGAAAAACCAGAATTTCATTTTTCAGAATTTTTTGTGATTGTGATGTCACAGTTTGATACTAGCGTGTGTGAGGACCATGTGGGTGCAGCGTGTGTGAGGACCATGTGGGGACAGCGTGTGTGAGGACCATGTGGGTGCAGCGTGTGTGAGGACCATGTGGGGGCAGCGTGTATGAGGACCATGTGGGGGCAGCGTGTGTGAGGACCATGTGACACCAGCGTGTGTGAGGACCATGTGGGGACAGCGTGTGTGAGGACCATGTGGGGGCAGCGTGTGTGAGGACCATGTGACACCAGCGTGTGTAAGGACCATGGGTGCAGCGTGTGTGAGGACCATGTGGGGGCAACGTGTGTGAGGACCATGTGGGGGCAGCATGTATGAGGACCATGTGGGGGCAGCGTGTGGAGCCTCTTGAACGCGACACTAAACATATTGTGAAGTTGAGTGACTCCAGACGGAGACTTCAAGCTTTTGTTCTCAAGGTTTTGTCTGAGCAGTGACCCAGAACACATGAGTCTCCAGGGACCAGAACGAGACCACAGAGACCAGAACGAGACCTGAACAAGACCGGAGAAAGACCAGAGAGAGACCAGGAGAGACAGACAGGACATCAGAGAATGGACCAGTAAACACTTATTTCTGGTCTCTCTCTGGTCCAGAGAAAACAGAGACCAGAAATAAGTTTTCACTTCATGTCTGGCCGTTATCACATCTTCAGATCAGATTTTTCAAACAGAAAAGTGAAACGGAGGACCACCCTCACTCGGCCAATCAGCTCTCAGCCCAAAGAGTCAGATAGTGACTCTTTGGGCTCCTTCTTTTAGTAACGACAGCATGTTTTGTCTGATGTTTTCACCCATCTTTAAACATGTGTAGGAGAGAAAAAAGTAAATTATATCTGATTTCTCTCTCTGGTCCTTCTCTGGTCCCTCTCTGGTCCCTCTCTGGTCTCTCTCTGGTCTCTTTCTGGTCCTTGTCTGGTCTCTTTCTGGTCTCTTTCTGGTCCTTGTCTGGTCTCTCTCTGGTCTCTCTCTCTGGTCCTTCTCTAGGTCCTCTCTGGTCTCTCTCTGGTCCCTCTCTGGTCTATGTCTAGTCCTTCTCTGGTCCCTCTCTGGTCTCTCTCTGGTCCCTCTCTGGCCTCTCTCTGGTCCCTCTCTGGTCTCTCTCTCTGATCCTTCTCTGGGTCCTCTCTGGTCTTTCTCTGGTCTCTTTCTGGTCCTTGTCTAGTCTCTCTCTGGTCCCTCTCGGGTCCCTCTCTGGTCTATGTCTAGTCCGTCTCTGGTCCCTCTCTGGTTCCTCTCTGGTCCCTCTCTGGCCCCTCTCTGGTCCCCTCTCTGATCCCTCTCTTGTCTATGTCTAGTCCAGCTCTGGTCCCTCTCTGGTCGATCTCTGGTCTCTCTCTGGTCTCTCTCTCTGGTCCTTCTCTGGTCCCTCTCTGGTCTCTCTCTGGTCTCTCTCTGGTCCCTCTCGGGTCCCTCTCTGGTCCCTCTCTGGTCTCTCTCTGGTCTCTCTCTGGTCCTTCTCTGGTCCTTCTCTGGTCCCTCTCTGGTCCCTCTCTGGTCTATGTCTAGTCCCTCTCTGGTCCCTCTCTGGTCTCTCTCTGGTCTCTCTCTGGTCTCTCTCTGGTCTCTCTCTGGTCTCTCTCTGGTCTCTCTCTCTGGTCTCTCTCTCTGGTCTCTCTCTCTGGTCCTTCTCTGGTCTCTCTCTGGTCCCTCTCGGGTCCCTCTCTGGTCTCTCTCTGGTCGTTCTCTGGTCCTTCTCTGGTCTCTCTGGCGGCACGGTGGCTGAGTGGATAGCACTCTCGCCTCTCAGCAAGAAGGTCCTGGGTTCGAATCCCGGTTGGACCAGGGCCTTTCTGAGTGGAGTTTGCATGTTCTCCCCGTGTCTGCGTAGGTTTCCTCCGGGTGCTCCGGTTTCCCCTACCACTAAAAATATGTACAATAGGTCTGGCATGTGCCTCCTGTACTGGCCCCACTCCCAAAAATAACAATTGTAAACCGCTTTGAGACTCCGATGTGCAGTGAAAAGGCGGTATATAAATAAAGATTACTTACTTACTTACTACTTACTCTCTCTGGCCCCTCTCTGGTACCTTTCTGACCTCTCTCTGGTCCCTCTCTGGCCTCTCTCTGGTCCCTCTCTGGTCTATGTCTAGTCCCTCTCTGGTCCCTCTCTGGCCTCTCTCTGGCCCCTCTCTGGTCCCTCTCTGGCCTCTCTCTGGCCCCTCTCTGGTCCCTCTCTGGTCCCTCTCTGGTCGCTCTCTGGTCGCTCTCTGGTCGCTCTCTGGTTTCTCCCATACATATATGTGAAAATCACCTTTAAGAGCTCATTACACATGTTTATGCGTGTGGAGGCCCCTGTATTGTGTGGAGGGAGGGGCCGGTGTCAGGGGCCCGGCTGCTCTGTTGTACTGAGGACAAAGGTCTGTCGTCTCCCTCTGGACCAGGAATCACAAACATGTTAGCCATGTTAAGAGGGACCAGAGAGAGACCTAAGACAGACCAGAGACAGACCAGAGAAGGACCAGAGAAGGACCAGAGAGGGACCAGAGACAGACCAGAGACAGACCAGAGAAGGACCAGAGAAGGACCAGAGAGGGACTAGAGAAGGACCAGAGAGGGACCAGAGAAGGACCAGAGAGGGACTAGAGAAGGACCAGAGAGGGACTAGAAGAGACCAGAGAGAGCAGATATAGGGACCAGGTTTAGACCTTGTTTTGAACTGGTCTTTGATTGCAGTCTTTTCAGAGTGATAAAGTTACATCCCCAGGCTGTAAAACCAAATCTGATGACACACAGTGGTGTTGTGCCTTTGAGCCTGACACTCCCGGCCCTAAGGCTCTGCACGTGTCAGCTGCTCAACGAACACCTCAGATTTCACTCATCAATAATTCAAAGAAGAAAGAGTCAAATCTGAACCATGACAAAGGACTCACACCTGAGACGCAGAGACCGGAGAGAGACCAGACAGAGACCAGAATGAGACCAGAGGGAGAGTAGAAAGAGACCAGAGAGAGATTGGAGACCAGAAAGACAGAGCAGAGTGAGACCAGAGGTAGACAAGAGAGAGACCAGATGGGAGAGCAGAGAGACCAGAGAGAAACCAGAAATAGACCAGAGAGCGAGAGGGAGACCACTATGACAGAAAGCATTTTTCCCTTCACACTTGTTTCTTAAAATATTTTCACACATCTATTATTTTACATTAAAATTGAAAACATAAACGTCTCGTTTACATCATATCTGTGACATCACTCTGATGTCACATGACATGCCACAGTTCTGTTTAATGAACTCGACAATTCAAAGATAATCCAGTGATGCAGGGATTAGGACCAGATCTGACATAAACCAGATTAAGAGGCTCCTGAAACCTGAGTCTCAGGGTGGTCAGGGTGGTCAGGGAGGTCAGGGAGGTCAGGGAGGTCTCTCTGTGGTCAGAGAGGTCTCTCTGTGGTCAGAGAGGTCTCTCTGTGGTCAGGGAGGTCTCTCTGTGGTCAGAGAGGTCTCTCTGTGATCAGGGCGGTCTCTCTGTGGTCAGGGAGGTCTGTGTGGTCAGGGAGGTCTCTGTGATCAGGGCGGTCTCTGTGGTCAGGGAGGTCTCTGTGGTCAGGGAGGTCTCTCTGTGGTCAGGGAGGTCTCTGTGGTCAGGGAGGTCTCTGTGGTCAGAGAGGTCTCTGTGATCAGGGCGGTCTCTCTGTGGTCAGGGAGGTCTCTGTGGTCAGGGAGGTCTCTGTGGTCAGAGAGGTCTCTGTGGTCAGAGAGGTCTCTGTGGTCAGAGAGGTCTCTCTGTGGTCAGAGAGGTCTGTGTGGTCAGGGAGGTCTCTGTGGTCAGGGAGGTCTCTGTGGTCAGGGCGGTCTCTCTGTGGTCAGGGAGGTCTGTGTGGTCAGAGAGGTCTGTGTGGTCAGAGAGGTCTGTGTGGTCAGGGAGGTCTCTGTGGTCAGGGAGGTCTCTGTGGTCAGGGAGGTCTCTGTGGTCAGGGAGGTCTGTGTGGTCAGGGAGGTCTGTGTGGTCAGAGAGGTCTGTGTGGTCAGAGAGGTCTGTGTGGTCAGGGAGGTCTCTCTGTGGTCAGGGAGGTCTGTGTGGTCAGGGAGGTCTGTGTGGTCAGGGAGGTCACTCTGTGGTCAGGGCAGCAGCTCACATCTTTGACAAAGACTGTTCCAGAATCTGCTGGACCTCAAAGGTTAATGTCACTGCAGCCTTCACTGAGTCTGGACTCAACAACATTTATGGTTTTATTCTATAATACTGAACTTTCACTGTGTGGTCTCTCTGGTCTCTCTCTCTGGTCTCTCTCTCTAGTCTCTCCCTCTGGTCTCTCTCTGGTCTCTCTCTAGTCTCTCCCTCTGGTCTCTCTCTGGTCTCTCTCTCTGGTCTCTCTCTCTGGTCACTCTCTCTGGTCTCTCCCTCTGGTCTCTCTGGTCTCTCTCTGGTCTCTCTCTGGTCTCTCTCTCTGGTCTCTTTCTCTAGTCTCTCTCTCTGGTTTCTCTCTCTCTGGTCACTCTCTCTGGTCTCTCTCTCTGGTCTCTCTCTCTGGTCTTTCTCTGGTCTCTCTCTCTGGTCTCTCTCTCTGGTCTCTCTCTTTGGTCTCTCTTGTCTCTCTCTCTGGTCTCTCTCTCTAGTCTCTCTCTCTGGTCACTCTCTCTGGTCACTCTCTCTGGTCACTCTTTCTGGTCTTTCTCTGGTCTCTCTCTGGTCTCTCTTTCTGGTCTCTCTCTGGTCTCTCTTGTCTCTCTCTCTAGTCACTCTCTCTAGTCACTCTCTCTGGTCTCTCTCTCTGGTCTCTGTCTCTGGTCTCTCTCTCTGGTCTCTCTTGTCTCTCTCTCTGGTCTCTCTCTCTAGTCTCTCTCTCTAGTCACTCTCTCTGGTCTCTCTTTCTGGTCACTCTCTCTGGTCTTTCTCTCTGGTCTCTCTCTGGTTTCTCCTGTGTTGGCGCAGACGTTGATGGTTGTGTTAAAGCTGGTGGCAGATTGTTGTTGAAAGCAGAGGTCACTGGAGCTGTTTAACTCCTCGTCACATTCATACAACAGCAGCTGCATTCACCAGGACACGCCCACTTTCCACTCCATTTACCCCAGGGAGGGGGGGGGCAGAGGGGCAGACAGACACCTGCTGCTGCTGGGAGAGGGATGAGCCATAAACACAAGACACGACCTCCTGAATATTTTTGTTTTAGTTTCACATCAGTCTCAGTTTGGGACCAGGAAGAGGCCATTGAGGCCATGGAGACCAGAGAGAGACCAGAGAGACCAGGGAGACCAGAGAGACCAGAGAGACCAGAGAGAGAGACCAGGAAGAGACCAGAGAGAGACCAGAGAGAGACCAAAGAGACCTGAGAGAGACCAGAGAGAGACCAGAAACAACATACTGTCTTCATCTGTAAGAAAGATCCCTGTGACTCAGTATCTGAGTGACAGACCCCAACTTTAAAGTGACAGACCCCGGCTTTAAAGTAACAGACCCCAGCTTTAAAGTAACAGACCCCAGCTTTAAAGTTACAGACCCCAGCTTTAAAGTGACAGACCCCAGCTTTAAAGTTACAGACGTCAGCTTTAAAGTGACAGACCCCAGCTTTAATGTGACAGACCCCGGCTTTAAAGTGACAGACCCCAGCTTTAAAGTAACAGACCCCAGCTTTAAAGTAACAGACCCCAGCTTTAACAGACGTCAGCTTTAAAGTGACAGACCCCAGCTATAATGTGACAGACCCCGGCTTTAAAGTGACAGACCCCGGCTTTAATGTGACAGACCCCGGCTTTAAAGTTACAGACCCCAGCTTTAAAGTGACAGACGTCAGCTTTAAAGTTACAGACCCCAGCTTTATCTCATGTTCTTGTTGTAGGAGGTTTATTCAGGGAAACATTATCAAAGTTAAAACCATGTGTGCTGTGCATGCGCTCACATGGTTTGCATAGGAATGAGCTTCTTCTTCTGTCCCTTTTTTAAAACAAAACTACAGCAAAACAAACAAACCGAGTGTAGAGCGGCCTCTGGTGGCGGCAGCGGGAAGAGGGCAAACCACAGAATAAGAATAATTCAAATAAATACAATGTTTCCTTTGGGTCGTTACATGTAAAATGTGATATCACAAACATGAGCAGAAGCAGAACCATGAAGCATAAAAAACTGTCCTATACAGAGGGGGCGGGGTCACAGGGGGACACAAGGCACCTGATTGGTCAGTTATTAGGGTCATTCACAAAAATAATCAATAAACAGGTGTAGCAAAGGGAGAGACCAGAGAGAGCCCAGAAAGAGACTAGAGAGCAAACAGAGAGAGAGACCAAAGAGAGAGACCAGAAAGAGACCAGAGAGAGACCTGAGAGAGACCAGAGAGAGAAATCAGAGCCAGTCAGTTCTCATGGTGGAGTTGCTGGTCCACCAGCCGCTCGTTCTCGCTGGTCTCAGACTCTGGACTGCTGTCAGAACTCGGAGCAGCGACGCACAAACCCAGAACCTCCTGCACCTTCACTGGTAACTCCTAAAACAGAACAATAAGATTTAAGAGACCAGAGAGACCAGACAGGACCAGAGGCAGACCAGAGGGAGACCAGAGAGGATCAGAGAGCCCAGAGACAGGTCCAGAACCATGGTCTCTGGTCTGGTCCAGTCACAGCTCACATGGTCCACATAGTCACATGGTCTGGTCACATGGTATGGTCTAGTCCCGTGTTTTTCAACCAGTGTGCCTTGAGATGTTGTTTGATGCTTTGGGAAATATTACAAAATCACAAAATTGGTCAAAATAATGAAGATTAGAAATATGTTTTCACAGGGTGCGGTCACATGATGCGGTCACATGGTGCAATCACTGGTACCTTGCAGGTCAGCAGCTGCAGGTAGATGGCCTCAGCTCCACACAGGATGCTCTGCAGATCCAGCTTCATGGTCAACTCATTTATGTGCTGAAAACACAGAGACTGTCAGACACCAGTGGGTACCAGAGACCAGAGAGAGACCAGAGAGAGACCAGAGAGAAACCAGAGAGAGAGACCAGAGAGAAACCAGAAAGAAAGAACCACACACAGAGACAGAGAAGCGTTACTTTGAGGATGGTGTTGAAGTCATGGTCTGACCCGATCAGCTCCCCCCTCTGAGACTCCAGGATGGAACAGGCCACCAGCAGATGGAAGTTCTCACACGGCAGACGAGTCCACAGCACCTGCACAAAAACCGTTTTACCATGTGTCTGATACCAGTACACACACAGACACCAGGAAAGACCAGAGAGAGAAACCGGAGACCAGAGAGACCGTTCAGGACCTTGACTGAGAGAATGTTTCCAAACATGTGCTGCGTACACTCACCTCCCACAGTGTTAGAATGTCTTCAAAGGAGAATTCTCTCTTGAACCAGATCAGCAGCCACCGGAAACAGAAGCAGAGAGACCCACTGTCCTGCGAGTCTGCACACAACACAACTGTCAGAGTGTGTGCGTCTGTCAGTGTGTGTGTCTCAGTGTGTGTCTGTGTGGGTCAGTAGGATGTGTGTCTGTGTGTGTCAGTACGGTATGTATGGTGTGTGTTTGTGTGTGTTAGTAGTGTGTCTGTGTGTGTGTCAGTAGTGTGTCTGACCGAGGAAGTCGCAGAGCTCAGGGTCCAGCGCCCGCAGCAGCAGACTGAGCTGCAGCAGCTGCTTCTTCATGGCCTCCTGAGACTCTTCAAAGTTCTGGTGCTACAAGCAGAGACCAGAGATCAAAGAGAGACCCAGAGACCAGAGAGACCCAGAGACCAGAGAGAGACCGCAGACCAGCCAGAGACGGGAGACCAGCGAGAGACCAAAGAGACACCAAAGAGAGACCAAAGAGATACCCTGGAGAGACCAGAGAGAGAACACAGAGAGACCAGAGAGACACCAGAGAGAGCATATTGGACACATAGTACAGACAGTGCTGTATAGAGACTGACCAGGAAGTTCATGAAGCCGGTCAGACACCAAAAAGACTCCACCTCGTTCTGAGTCACGAAGAGAAGAGGAGCCAGGAGGTCCGACATGCCCTGGACATACCCTACAGGAGAGAGGGTTAGTGTGTGCGTCTGTGTGAGTGTGTCTGTGTGTGTGTGTGAGTGTGTGTTACCCAGGTCAAAGTTGTACATGCAGTAGGTCATGAGGACGTCGTGCAGTAAAGTGAGTCCTGGGTTTTCGTTTCCGGAGAAAAAAGTGTTGTTTCTGTCTGTTCTGCTGACGTCACGCTCTGCAACACAACATTAAATGTTTATTTATTTATTTATTTATATAGCGCTTTTTTTTTACAGACCAAGTTCACCCAAAGCGCTTTACAATGTTCAGAGTCAGATATTGTTCCAATCCTTCCACACACGGTGATGACAGAAGCGTGTCCAGAACACACTGGACCATCAGCTCCAACACCATCCATTCGCTCTCTCATTTACATTCATACCTACTGTGCGTGTTTTTACACACACACAACACAACTGTTGAACACAAGACTACTGTTACACACACCACAATAGTTAGTGTTATACTTACTCTTACTATACTATATCCACATTATCCAGTGAAATTTGATTAAAAGGAAAAATCTGATATTTGGGGACAATTATCATATGAGGTATTAGACAATCCTGACTTCTTTTTTTTAGAGAGACCTTCACTGGCAATGTATACTGGGATGTTGCAGATTTGCAACATTGTCCCATTGTACTGTGGTAAATAGAAATGACCCAAGGGAAACACCCAGAGGAGATTAAATCTATTGCACATACTGTATCAATATATATAATCTTTCATTTATGCAGTTTTAGTTTCACATTATCAGAGGTTTGTAGTGATACTGACTACTGTAATTCTGAAAACCAAGGACATTTTGGAGGTGAGACACCTGTGCCCCCTGGTGAGCAGGTGGAGAACTGTGTGTGCAAAAGCTCCAGAGCAGTGGTACCTCTGAGTAACAAAGGGTCAAACATATAGATGTTGCGTCATTACGTATAAGAAATTAAGCTGTTGCAAATCTGCAACGTCTGGAGAGGGATAAAAAATAATTGAAGTCTGTTAGGGCAGAGTCTGTTGGGGGCGGAGTCTGTTACTGACCAATCAGGTTCCTGTATCCCCGCAGCAGAGAGTTCCTCATCTCCTGCTCTTCACTCACAGACTTCCACTGAACCTTCATCCGAAAATATTCATCTCTGAAACAAACACATATGTGATATCAGTGTGTGTGTGTGTCTGCATGTGTGTTTCTGCGTGTGTGTGTGTGTGTGTCTCACGTCTTCTGACGCAGTAGCTCCTCTCTCTCAGAGTATGTGCTGCTCCAGGGATAGAAGCCCAACATGAACTTCCACAGCTCCTTCCTCAGAGGAGCAGAGGCACCCTGCAGGAGAGAGGAGGTGAGACCAGGGAGAGACCGTAGAGGAGGTGAGAGCAATGAGGAGGTGACACCAGGGAGACCAGAGGAGGTGAGAACAAAGCATGGATCTATTATAATAACTGGATAGGGTATTACTAGCTTGTAGCTGAATAACTCACGTGCTCGGGGGATTCTCGCGGTACTGCAGACTAAACCAGACTAAATTCACGTGGGCTACCCAGAAATTTTCCCCACAGGACTCAATGCATATTAAAACAGCTCAACCTCAGCTGACGGAGAACCTACAGCTTTCATAAAGGTCGGATTTTGTGGGGATTTTAGTGTCCCTTGTCATCCTGAACTTTTTTTCTTCTTAAATCCTTCGGTTTTGTTTAAATCCACACTTTAGTGCCACAAACTCTGCTCGTCTGGCTCTCGCTCTAACTCCCGCTCTGATGAACTGCTCTGATTGGTCAGAGCGTGTCCGAGCCCCTCTGTGCACGTGCGTGAGACCCGGTGTGAGACCCACACACGCGTGTTTGGCGCAACGCATTATGGGAGATCATCCACTGCACAGAACCGGGAGGACCAGACGATGCCCAAATACAGGCGAGTTTCCCATAGATCTTTGCGAGTTTCCCATAGATCTTTGCGAGTTCCAGGCGACTTCCGCTAATCTTTCAGCTCTCATGCCGTCACAAAGCGCCACTGAGCACAACCATTCATTTGAATAGGGCGCCATCTTGGATCGCCGGGGCTTGGAACAAAGAGACCAGAGAGACCAGCGAGAAAGTGAGACCATTGAGGAGGTGAGACTTGAGAGAGACCAGAGAGAGACTAGAGAGGAAGTGAGACCTGAGTGAGACCAGAGAGGAGGTGAGACCAGAGAGGAGGTGAGACCAGAGAGGAGGTATGACCAGAGAGAGACCAGAGTGGAGGTGAGACCAGAGAGAGACCAGAGAGAGATCAGTGAGAGAGAGACCAGAGAAAGACCAGAGACAAGAGACAGACTAGAGATAGTGAGTGTCTCCTTACCCCCCTGAACACCAGCTCTTTGACCCTGTCGGGCTCCCGTACTCGTCCCTCAGAGTCAAGCAGCTCGTCCCATTGGTCCAGAGGGCGTCCCCTGGTCACCTGAGGTCGAGGCCCCAGCTCCACGCCCTGAAACAACAAACCATGTGACCTCGCAAGTCCTGGATCTAAAGTCTCAGCCCTGGGTCTACAGTCCCGGCCCTGGATCTACAGTCTCAGCCCTGGATCTACAGCCTCAGCCCTGGATCTACAGCCTCAGTCCTGGATCTACGGCCTCAGCCCTGGGTCTACGGTCTCAGTCCTGGATCTACAGCCTCAGTCCTGGCTCTACAGCCTCAGTCCTGGATCTACGGCCTCAGCCCTGGGTCTACGGTCTCAGTCCTGGGTCTACGGTCTCAGTCCTGGGTCTACGGTCTCAGTCCTGGGTCTACGGTCTCAGTCCTGGGTCTACGGTCTCAGCCCTGGGTCTACGGTCTCAGCCCTGGGTCTACGGTCTCAGCCCTGGGTCTACGGTCTCAGCCCTGGGTCTACGGTCTCAGCCCTGGGTCTACGGTCTCAGTCCTGGGTCTACGGTCTCAGCCCTGGGTCTACAGTCTCAGTCCTGGGTCTACGGTCTCAGTCCTGGGTCTACAGCCTCAGTCCTGGATTCTTACACAGTTGATGAGCTCGAACTCGGGCTCCTCCTCGTGGGGCAGAGACGGGTCGTGTGGTCCCCTGCGGTGGAGGGAGTCTGGAGGTTTGATCGCAGCGCGGAAGAAGTTTGTGACTTTGGAGAATCCTCCGAACGTGGTGGCGTACGGGTCATGAATGAACCTCTGCACACATGGTACAGGGTAAAGCTGGGGTCTGTAATGTTAGCCTCATAAATAAAACAGAGAGAGACCAGAGAGAGACCAGAGAGAAGCTGGGGTCTGTAATGTTAGCCTCATAAATAAAACAGAGAGAGACCAGAGAGAGAGCAACCAGAGAGAGACCAGAGAGAGAGCAACCAGAGAGAGACCAGCGAGAGAGACCAGAGAGAGACCAGCGAGAGAGACCAGCGAGAGAGCAACCAGAGAGAGAGCAACCAGAGAGAGACCAGAGAAAGACCAGAGAGAGAGCAACCAGAGAGAGACCAGCGAGAGACCAGAGAGAGAGCAACCAGAAAGAGATCAGAGAAAGAGCAACCAGAGAGAGACCAGCCAGAGAGACCAGAGAGAGAGCAACCAGAGGCAGAGACCAGAGGCAGAGACAGCCAAAATGTTCCTGGTTAGCATGTCTCTGCAGGGGAATGGGACAGAGCAGACAGGAGGTGGCGCTATCACCTGGACCAGCTCAGAGCCGTCGTCAAGAAGATTGAGTCGGTCAAACGATGGGGAGATCTCGCCCGAGTTGTTGGGAAAAGCCAGAAAGAGCCGAGCATCCATGGGAGACCTGAGATACACATGGTCTGAGCTCAGCTGATGCTCACATGGTTTACTGTGGTTTTTACAACATCCAGACAGATTTACAAACTTAACTAATAATAAAGATTTATTCCAACACTCAAGTTGTGACCAGAGAGAGACCAGAGAGAGACCAGAGTGAGACCAGAGAGAGACCATAGAGAGACCAGAAAGAGAACATAGAGAGAGCAGGGACTGACCAGAGAGACCAGCGAGAGACCAGAGACAAAGTGTGTGTGTGTGTGTGTCTTACGGGTTGAGGAGAATGTAGTGGTGCATGGCTCTCAGTAGCTCTCTGGTGCCTCCTCTGTGGAAGTGCAGTGGAGGCAGAGGGTGTCCCCCTCTGCTGGTCAGCACCAGGAAGTTCCTGCCCAACGAGAAGCGAGCGCGACGCAGAGAGTATAGCTCCGACAGAGGCAACGAGAAGGCCCACTCCCCTGGGAAGAGAGGAGAGAAGAGTGAGGAGAGGAGAGAGGTGTCCTGTTGGGTTGTTGTGCTCTTGAGCACTGACCTGAGTCCTTGGAAGGTGCTGGTTCTCTCCTCTTCACGGTGCTGATCACAGCCCAGTCCGGCTCATACCCGGGCTCAAAGTGAGACTCCTCCTGCCCCCCTTCCCCCTCCTGAAAACATCACACTCACTGATCTCATGTGACAGAAACGCATGGAAACTAGTGATGGAAGCAAAATATGGTCCAGTTTCTCTCTCTGGTCTCGCTCACTGGTCACTCTCACTGGTCACTCTCACTGGTCACTCTCACTGGTCACTCTCTCTGGTCACTCTCTCTGGTCACTCTCTCTGGTCACTCTCTCTGGTCACTCTCTCTGGTCACTCTCTCTGGTCACTCTCACTGGTCTCTCTCACTGGTCTCTCTCACTGGTTGGTCACTCTCACTGGTCTCTCTCACTGGTCTCTCTCACTGGTCTCTCTCACTGGTCTCTCTCACTGGTCACTCTCACTGGTCTCTCTCACTGGTCTCTCTTACTGGTCTCTCTCACTGGTCACTCTCACTGGTCTCTCTCACTGGTCTCTCTCACTGGTCTCTCACTGGTCTCTCTCTCTGGTCTCTCTCTGGTCTCTCACTGACCTTCTTGCTGAAGAGCACGGCTGGAGCTGTGCGTCCATCATCCTCCACAGGACTCCACTCTAAGGCTGGAACCCCGGCCTGAGGTCACAGGGACAGGGGAAGACTTTCACTGAGGCACAAACACTACAGCACATACGGACCCTAGAGTGTGTATTATCTCTCTCCTCTCCCCTCTCACTAGGGTCCTGGTTCTGACTCACCCGCTCCACGATCCGGATGAACCCTGGGATGCTGGTGTCCACGTTGCTTCTCTTGGCGTTTGTGTGAAGATAAACTCCCTCTTTCTCAAATATGAGCTGAAGCACAAACACAGAGGTATCAGAACAACACACGGCCCTTCCCCACCTCAGCAGCACGGGAGGAGGCGCACTGAACCTCCTCTACTATACTGTGGAATCAGCTCCTCATCCACGTCCAGGAAGCAGACACAGTCTCTATGTTCAAGGCCAGGCTTAAAACAGTCTTGATTTCAGCAGATGAATCGGTGGGTAAAACTCAGGAAGACTTAGAAATACAACCATAAGTCAAAACACAATTCAAAGTATTTATTTTTGTATAGCCCTAAATAACAACAGTAGTTATCTCTGAGGACATTACAATTAAGTTGAATTTGCCAACAAAGATCAGAGAATCAAACAGAAGAAATGCAATGAGAGAAAACACATAGAGGTATTTGTCCATAAAGATCCATGGTCCATACACAGACATCACGACGTAGGAGTGACGGCGGAATGGCGGCAGCGTCAGCAGGCGGAGGCAGAGCGTCGACGAGGATAAATGCGCGAGATTTAAATCTCATTGATCTACAACCACCTACCTTAATCCCAGAACCTGTTTTTTCCGTGGATGGGTCAGAGGTAGGGAGTTGGGGCGATAGTATGGAGGCTGAGGAGAGTGAAAGTGACGCTGAGTTACAGTCAGCACAGAAGAGAGTGAACAAGCGTAGTAAGCGGCTTCGGAATGAGAGTGGTAGTGACAGCAGTGTTCATTCAGTTATTGAGAGACCGAGTAAGATGATTGTTGTGCTGAGGTTTAATGAGAAAACTCAAGCCAGTGTGAGGAAAGCAAGTCCATTTAGTCTTACAATGGATATTGGGAACAAGCTGGGCGATGTAACATCAGCTAAAGTGTTGAATGATGGAAATTTATTAATTCATTGTACCAATGAGGAGCAAATGAAGAAGGCATTGGGCTTGAGGGAGGTGGGAAAGTTTAAAGTTAGCAGCGCGAGTCAGGTGGGAGTTCGACTTGGCGGGAGCAGAGGAGTAATCACCGGAATACCTGCTAATGTAAAGATGGAGGAGTTGAAGAGACATATTAAAGGGGGGGTAGTTAAAAATGTGACTAGGATGAAAGCAACAAGGGACGGAGTGAAAGTGGACAGTGAAACTATACTTATTGAGTTTGAAGAAGCAACTTTGCCTCAGAAAGTGTTCGTTGGGTTTTTGAGTTACTCAGTCAGAGCATTCATACCTAAGCCGCTCAGGTGCTTTAATTGCCAGCGTTTTGGCCACACAGCAAGTAACTGTAAGGATAAGAGAAGGTGTGCTCGATGTGGAGGGGGCCATGAATATGGGAAGTGTGGGGAAGGAGTACAGCCCAAGTGCTGCAACTGTGGTGGGGCACATAGTGTGGCTTATGCTGGATGTGAGTTTATGAAGAAAGAGAGTCAGATTCAAAAGGTGAGAGTAGAGAAGGGGATCTCTTATGCAGAGGCTGTGAGGACATCACGGCAGAGTGCTCCTCTTGTGACGAGGGGGCGGGGAACAGAAGAGCCGGAGGCAGTAACTGGGCAGAGCAAAAGTAATCTAAGTGTACAGCCAATTGCGCTAGTTTCATTTATTGCTGAAGTAATAAACTGCACTTTTGGGGTCAAAACTAGAGATGAAAGGATCAAATTGATTGTTGAGGCAGCAGTAAAGCTGCTAGGAGTGGTAGGACTGACATGGGAAAAGGTGAGTGATCACCTCAGGCTTCAGTCAGGACGAGTGGTATAATGTTATTTGTATTCCTAATGGTGCTTATTCTCCAATGGAATGCAAGAAGTTTACTGGCCAATGGCCAGGAGTTTAAGTATTTCATTAAAGGACTTAAAGAGAAACCGGACGTAATATGTGTGCAGGAGACGTGGCTTAAGCCTTCTTTGGACTTTATAATATATGGATATGCTGTGATTAGAAATGACCGAGACCATGGAGATGGAGGGGGGTGTGCAACATTTGTTAGAAGCGGTATCCCCTACAGGTTACTGGGGGTAGGGGGAAATCTGGAGTGCATTGTAGTGGAAGTATGGGAGAAGGAAAAACCAACAGTGGTCATAAATTTCTATAATCCATGTGCCAGGTTAGAGCATCAGAGCCTCCGGGGTATTCAGGGACAAGACCGTAGGAGAGTAGTTTGGGTGGGGGACTTTAATGCTCACAGTGGAGTATGGGGGGGTCGGCATAAAGACGCCAATGGAAGTGTTATAGAGGAATTGATGGATGAGCAGAATCTTGTGTGTTTGAATGACGGTTCTGGTACAAGGTTTAATGTTGTGAATGGGTCCTCCTCAGCGTTGGATCTTACCCTGGTGTCTAGCGCATGTGCAGGGGGCTGCCAGTGGAGGGTTAGGACAGATACAACCCTGGGGAGTGACCATTATCCTGTTTTGAGCTCAATTGGGGGTAAGGTGAAGGGGATAAGCAGAGAGGGTTTGGGGAAATGGGCTTTCCATAGAGCTAATTGGGATGAGTTCCAAAAGTTATGTGAGGAGGCTGCAGATGAAATGGGGTGTCAAGGCAGCGTAGATGAAATGAATAAACAGATTACGGAGGGAATGATAAATGCTGCACGGAAGAGTATTCCAAAGAGCAAGCCAAAGAATAACAGAGTTCTGGTTCCATGGTGGACGCAGGAGTGCCGGGTAGCGGTCAAGGAGAGGAATAAGGCATTTAGGAAGTTTAAGAGAACGCTCAGTATTCAGCATCTGGTGGAATACAAGAAAGCGCAGGCAATTGTTAGGAGGACAATTAGAAGAGCAAAAAGGTCTAGCTGGAGGGAGTTTTGCTCAAAAGTGGGGAGAACAACACCAGTGGGTGAAGTCTGGGGAATGGTAAGAAGGATGGGTGGAGACAGGCGTGAGTGGGATTACCCAGTATTAGTGACTCAGAGTGGCACAGCGATATCGGACAGGGATAAGGAGAGGTCATGGCCCAAAGTTTTGTAAAGGTGCATAGCTCAGATAACTTATCAGAAGTGGCTAAAAGCAGGAGAGATCAAACCAGAGATCAGAACCAGGAAGTATTTGTAACTAAGGAGGATTTAAATCAAGATCAGGATTCCCTTTTCTCCTTGGAGGAGATGGACAGGGCAGTTAGAAGGGCAAAACAAACATCTCCAGGTAAGGATCAGATATGTTTATGCAATGATTAGAAGGCTAGGGATAGAAGCCCGTAAGAAACTGCTGCTATTGTATAATAGAGTTTGGACTGAAGGAAAGGTGCCAGGTGCGTGGAAAGAGGCTGTGATAGTGCCGATAAGGAAGCCTGGAAAGGACCCATCAAAGCCATGTAGTTATCGGCCAATAGCCCTTACCTCCAACCTCTGTAAAATTATGGAGAGAATGATTGTGGAAAGGTTGTCTTTTGACCTTGAGAGACGAGGAGTTTTAGCTGGTTGTCAGAGTGGCTTTAGGAAAGCGAGAAATACGTGTGACTCTATTATTAGGCTTGAAAATGAGATAAGGAAAGCTCAGGCTTGTAAGGAGTCAGTGCTGGCAGTGTTTTTTGACATTGAAAAAGCCTATGACATGATGTGGAAAGATGGGTTATTAATCAAGCTGCATAGGTTGGGGGTTAGTGCAAGAGCTTTTAACTGGATCCGAGACTTTCTTGATGGGAGGAAAATTGAGGTGCGCATTGGATCAGCTTGCTCCAATCAATATTGTGCTGAAAATGGAACTCCTCAAGGCAGTGTGATAAGTCCTCTACTGTTCATTATTATGATTAATGATGTGTTTGATGCAATGCCTGGGAGTGTGGGTAGATCTTTGTTCGCAGATGATGGGGCGGTATGGAGCAGGGGGAGAAATGTAGATCATCTAATAGGCAAGAGTCAGCGAGCCATTAATGATGTGGTGGAGTGGGGACTAGACTGGGGCTTCAGGTTCTCAGTTGAGAAAACTAAAGTGGTTTTCTTTACAAGGAAGAGAGTGAGGGAAGATATGAAGTTGAGGTTATACGGTGAAGAGATTGAGAGAGTTAGTGCATTTAAGTTTTTAGGGGTTGTACTGGACTCTCGTTTAACATGGAAGGAACACATAAAACGGATTGAGGAGAAGTCTAGTAAGGTTATAAATGTTATGAGGTGTTTGGCAGGAAGAGACTGGGGAGCCAGCTGCTCCGCACTGAAACGCCTCTATCAGGCCTTGATAAAGTCAGCATTTGACTATGGTTGTGTGGTGTACGGATCAGCATCCCCATCCATACTGAAGAAACTGGATGTGATACAGGCCCGTGCCTTGAGGCTGTGCTGCGGAGCCTTTAAGACATCTCCGGTGAATGCATTGCAGGTAGAGATGGGGGAGATGCCACTAGATCTGAGAAGGAAGCAGATAATGATGAACTACTGGGTTCATTTACAAAGCCATGGGGATTCTCATCCCACAAAACAGACATTGAGGGACTGCTGGGAATATGGTAAGGCCCAGAGAGATCATTTTGGGAAAGTGGGGGACCAGATGGCTCAGAACTATGGTATTTATGATCTTCAGATTAGTTCTGCTTTAGTGTTTCCTGCAATACCCCCATGGAAGTTGGGGTGCCCAGGAGTAGATTGGCACCTGCTGGACTTGAAGAAGAAGGAAAAAGGGAGGGTTGATCTGGTTGCAGCTTTTGAGTACCACGTATCTCAACTCTACTCAAGTCATATTCACATCTTTACGGATGGGTCAAAGAGTCCAGAATCTGAGGTTACAGGATTCGGAATAGCGGTGCCAGGAAAAGGAGTTGGTATTAACAGACGAACATCTAATGGTTTGAGTGTTTACACAGTGGAGATGGTTGCTATATTAGTGGCGTTAAGGTGGGCAGAGCAAGCTAAAAAGAGTAGGGGTTTAATATGTTCTGATTCAGCGTCTGTGCTTTCTAGTGTCCAGTCTATACAATCACAGGGTCGACAGGATATTTTGTATGAGACTCTATTGACAGTTACTAGAATTCATCAGCAGGGGAACACGGTGCAGTTTCTGTGGGTACCATCACATTCTGGTATTCTAGGTAATGAAGTAGTGGACAGACTGGCAAAGGGTGCACTGAATAAGGCAAGGGTAGAGATGAGTGTGAAAAGTAGCAAGAGTGAAGCAAAGAGTGTGGTGTGGAAACGAATAATTCAGGAATGGCAGACACGTTGGGAGACAGGGACCTCAGGAAGGCATTTTTATCACATACAGAAAGAGGTGAGCGATGGCAGAAGGCAGGGGGGCCATCGGAGGGAAGAAATGGTCATGACTAGGCTTAGATTGGGGCATTGTGCACTGAATAAAACACTGTGTATCATAGGGAAGCATGAGACGGGGCTCTGTGAGGGATGTGAAGAGCAGGAGGAGTCTGTAGAGCACGTGCTGTTGCACTGCAGGGGATATAGTGAGTGTAGGGAGGTACTGAAACAGAGGCTTAAGGAACTGGGGGTTAAGGAATTTAATTTAAAGAGTATTTTGGGTACTGGAGGGAGTGCGCAAGTGAGGGCATTAGTGTCGTTTTTAAAGGAAGCCGGGTTATTCAGCAGAATATAGATATAGTATAGTTAGGTATGTATGAATTTTGGTAAGTTATTTGTATTTGTATTTTGTAGTTTATTTTTTTTTGTTTTTTTTTTTTTTCTTTTTCGTTTCTTTTCTTTTACAATTCCCTTGGTGGGACCACAGACTGATAGTCTGTGGGGTTAGAGTGTGAGCCTACTGACCCATCCACGGAACAGAAGGTGGCGGTAATGCGCAAAAATAGGTCGCCAACCGCCGGAAAAAAAACCTAACAAGAAGACACAGACATCACAGATTGTCAGTGCCGCTGCATATAGAGCCCCCTGCTGGAGAAGTATGGTAACAGCCTCAGTCCTGGGTCTACAGCCTTTGTCCAGGATCTACCCTCACTCTTTAACGCAGGAGGGTCAAGGACATGTCTGGAAAGTGTTCATCCCTCTCCCTATGAACCAATGGCTCCTCTGCGTTTGAACTGTTTGATTCTCTGATCTGTTGTTGGTGAAGTCCACTGAGACGACTGCTGCTGTGATTTATGGCGATCACAAATACACTGAATAGAACTAACCAGTTATTATTATCTTACATCTATTCATAGACGTACAACCCTAACCCGAGTTTACTTGTCAGTGTTTAAATAGTCATTAGGTCCAATTTACATTATCATCATTATTTAAGACTTCTGTCACCAGAGCCATACATAATATCACAGTCACATGATTCAGAACAGACTCGAATCCAATCAAAGAAATGTTTTAGTCCTTTGAACGTCAGAATATGAAGCTAGAGCCTCCAGACCGTGAGTGTTATTCACGTATCCCACTGACAGCCTTCGGTAACTGTATATTCCAGATGTTTACAGGGAGCGTAGCTAGCTTAGCATCTACCGTTAGCATCGCGCACTAACGCCTGTTCCGTTGACCCCACAGACGCGGTCCTCTCCCCCCGGGCCTCAGACATATGTGCCCGTGGGTTGCTGCCCCAGACCCGCGGTGGAAATGTGCGTCATTACCTTAAAATCGGGCGTTTGTTCAGCCATTTCACTCGTTTCTGTCACCGCTTTTCCAAAACAAACGTTACGTCATCACTTCCGGTTCCAAGCACACCCCCAACTACGTCACGGGGTTTCAGCCAATCATAGCGCGGGCTTTTGGATTATTCTACAATGTTTTATTTTAGAGACTAGAGAGAGAAACCCGAGATGGACCAGAAAGAGACCAGAGAGAGAGACCAGAGAGACACTAGAGAGAGAGACCAGAGAGAGACCATAGAGAGAGACCAGAGAGAGACCATAGAGAGAGACCAGAGAGAGACCATGGAGAGAGACCAGAAAGAGACCAGAGAGAGAGAGAGACCAGAGAGAGACCAGAGATAGACCAGAGAGAGAGAGAGACCAGAGCTAGACCAGAGAGACTCTAGAGAGAGAGAGACCAAAGAAAGACAAGAAAGAGAGACCAGAGAGAAAGACCAGAGTTAGAAGAGAGAGAGATCAGAGAAAGTCTATAAAGAGAGACCAGAAAGAGACCTAGATAGACCAGAGAGAGAGAGAGATAAGAGAGAGACCACGGAGAAAGATCAGAGAGAGACTAGAGAGAGACCTAGGAGACCAGAAAGACCAGAGAGAGAGACCAGAGATAAAGACTAGAGTAAGACCAGAGGGACCAGAGAAAGACTGGGAAGAGATACTAGATAGAGACCTATGAGACCAGAGAGAGACCATGGGGAAAGATCAGAGAGAGACTAAAAAGAGACTTGAGAGAGACCTAAGAGAGAGAGAGAGACTAGAGAGAGACCCAAGAGAGGCCAGAGAGAGAAACCTTAGAGACACCAGAGAGAGACCAAGGAAAGAGAGACCCTCTGACATTGACACTTCTCAGTTACCATAGTTACATTATAGATATTTCTGCTGCCCTCCACTATAATATCAAACTAGACTCTTTGGGACATGGTCACAGTAAAGATCCAGTCTAGGGGTTTAAACTTTTATTTGTATTTTTCGCTTGTTTACGACCCGTGCTTTTATTGTGACGGGGCGAGCCGGAAGCGTGCTGCTGGGGACGAGCTTAGGGGAGAGAAGAGAAGGGCCCAGACTCCGAGATTAATCCCGAATAAGACACTTTTTGCACCACAATCCAGCGTTTAGCTCCAGGTGCAGAAGCAGAGCGGGTGAGTGCACCTCCAGGCCGCTGTCCTGCTCCTCTCTGCGGCTCCAGCAGCTGTCATCGCGGCTGCAGAGCGAGGGGCAGACATGGCGAGGGTTGCAACAGAAACACATGGGACTCCACACAAACAGGGACAGTACGGATCCAGACAGCGGGGGCTCGTATGTTCTGGACCCGGGTCAGAGCTGCTGACGCGCAGGAGAAGCAGAGGGGACGCGGGGGTGACGTGACACTCTCTGTGGATGAGCTAATGCATGCTAACGAAGCTAACGGGGTCCAGCTGGTGTTGTTGACATGCTCTTGCAAACGACCAGATTCTGCTTTGTGAGAGAGTGAGTGTGAGAGAGTGAGTTGGTGTGAGAGAGTTAGTGTGAGAGAGTGAGTTGGTGTGAGAGAGAGAGTTAGTGTGAGAGAGTGAGTTGGTGTGAGAGAGAGAGTTAGTGTGAGAGAGTGAGTTGGTGTGAGAGAGAGAGTTAGTGTGAGAGAGTGAGTTGGTGTGAGAGAGAGAGTTAGTGTGAGAGAGTGAGTTAGTGTGTGAGAGAGAGTTGGTTAGTGTGAGAGAGAGTTGGTTAGTGTGAGAGAGAGTTGGTTAGTGTGAGAGAGAGTTGGTGTGAGAGAGTGAGTTAGTGTGAGAGTGAGTTAGTGTGAGAGAGAGTTGGTGAGTGTGAGAGAGAGTTGGTTAGTGTGAGAGAGAGTTGGTGTGAGAGAGTGAGTTAGTGTGAGAGTGAGTTAGTGTGAGAGAGAGTGAGTGTGAGAGAGAGTTGGTTAGTGTGAGAGAGAGTTGGTTAGTGTGAGAGAGAGTTGGTTAGTGTGAGAGAGAGTTGGTTAGTGTGAGAGAGTTGGTTAGTGTGAGAGAGTTGGTTAGTGTGAGAGAGAGTTGGTTAGTGTGAGAGAGAGTTGGTTAGTGTGAGAGTTGGTTAGTGTGAGAGAGAGTTGGTTAGTGTGAGAGAGAGTTGGTTAGTGTGAGAGAGTTGGTTAGTGTGAGAGAGAGTTGGTTAGTGTGAGAGAGAGTGAGTTAGTGTGAGAGAGAGTTGGTGTGAGAGAGAGTTGGTTAGTGTGAGAGAGAGTTGGTTAGTGTGAGAGAGTGAGTTGGTGTGAGAGAGTGAGTTAGTGTGAGAGAGTGAGTTAGTGTGAGAGAGTGAGTTAGTGTGAGAGAGTGAGTTAGTGTGAGAGAGTGAGTTAGTGTGAGAGAGTGAGTTAGTGTGAGAGAGAGTTGGTTAGTGTGAGAGAGAGTTGGTTAGTGTGAGAGAGAGTGAGTTAGTGTGAGAGAGTTGGTTAGTGTGAGAGAGAGTTGGTTAGTGTGAGAGAGAGTTGGTTAGTGTGAGAGAGAGTTGGTTAGTGTGAGAGAGTTGGTTAGTGTGAGAGAGTTGGTTAGTGTGAGAGAGTTGGTTAGTGTGAGAGAGAGTTGGTTAGTGTGAGAGAGAGTTGGTTAGTGTGAGAGAGTTGGTTAGTGTGAGAGAGAGTTGGTTAGTGTGAGAGAGAGTTGGTTAGTGTGAGAGAGAGTTGGTTAGTGTGAGAGAGTTGGTTAGTGTGAGAGAGAGTTGGTTAGTGTGAGAGAGAGTGAGTTAGTGTGAGAGAGAGTTGGTGTGAGAGAGTGAGTTAGTGTGAGAGAGTGAGTTAGTGTGAGAGAGTGAGTTAGTGTGAGAGAGTGAGTTAGTGTGAGAGAGTGAGTTGGTGTGAGAGAGTGAGTTGGTGTGAGAGAGAGTTGGTTAGTGTGAGAGAGTTGGTTAGTGTGAGAGAGAGAGTTGGTTAGTGTGAGAGAGTTGGTTAGTGTGAGAGAGTAAGTTAGTGTGAGAGAGTAAGTTAGTGTGAGAGAGTTGGTTAGTGTGAGAGAGTTGGTTAGTGTGAGAGAGTGAGTTAGTGTGAGAGAGTGAGTTAGTGTGAGAGAGTGAGTTAGTGTGAGAGAGTGAGTTGGTGTGAGAGAGTGAGTTGGTGTGAGAGAGAGTTGGTTAGTGTGAGAGAGAGTTGGTTAGTGTGTGAGAGAGTTGGTTAGTGTGAGAGAGAGTTGGTTAGTGTGAGAGAGTAAGTTAGTGTGAGAGAGTTGGTTAGTGTGAGAGAGTTGGTTAGTGTGAGAGAGTTGGTTAGTGTGAGAGAGTGAGTTAGTGTGAGAGTGAGTTGGTTTGAGAGAGTTAGTGTGAGATAGAGCGAGAGTGAGTGTCGGATTGTGAGCGAGTGTGAGAAAGTGTGTGAGAGTCTATTGTTTGTCCAAAATTACGTAATGTAATGTATGTCATTTAATTAAAAAATAAAAAAACAAATGAATGAATGTGGCCCTCTACCACCAGTTTAGTCTTGTTGAACCTCGTAATTCTCAAAACCTCTGGAATCCATTTATTAACTTTATTTCTATACACTACTATTTGTTTTTGATTATGACACTAGCTGTGGTGTGGATCATTCTGAACAGATTACACCCCATTTTAAACAACCTCCAACAGCCCGAGTCCAGTCAAAATAGTTTTCTTCTCACACAGATTTAAAATAAGTAGTTGGGTATTAAGATTGGCCTTTCGTTTAGATGAAGACAGTGTTTCAGGTGTAAATGCAAGTTTTGAGAAGCTATGTTAGCATTGTCCCTCTGTATAATGTCTGTGTTAGCATTGTCCCTCTGTATAATGTCTGTGTTAGCATTGTCCCTCTGTATAATGTTTGTGAGACCAGAGTGACAAACCTCCATAATAAATGTTTCTCTCTTGTTTTGTGTCTTCCAGCACCACCAGCATCAGCGTCTCTTCGTCTCTCCCCGGCTCCATTTCAACATTTCATATCTCACACTGTGCCTCTTTTAAAGTATTTATTTTTCATTTCATCTGCACGTCACCAGCAGAGGCCTAGTCCCCCACACGGTCTCAGCTAACTCCAACAGCACCATAAGCTAACTAACATAGCTAACATAAGCTAGCACACCCTCTTTTACTATAGCACACTGTGAATGTTCAGAATGGCCGCCGTCCCTCCTCAACACAGCGACTCGGAGATCCCAGATAACCACAGAGAGAGCTGGCTGGCACTGCTGGCCGCGGCGCAGGCCTATGCACAGAAGGCCGGATGTGAGGTCGCCATCCTCACCGCCTGCAGGAAGTTCCGGATGGAGCAGACAGAGCAAGAGAGCGCCCCCTATCCGCGAGACGGGGACTTCAGCTATGGCGTGTGGGGGGCGGGCTTCCTGGCAGAGAGCGCACGCAGGTCAGCGATGGTTTGATATACTTTTTTTTTTTGCCCCTTCTTTAGGACAGGGGTGATGTGTTCTAAAGTTAACAAGTGGAATCACTGTAGCAGCCGTTTGAAGTCTGTAAAACCCTCACTTTATACACTGTAACCTCCTGTGTGTGTGTGTGTCTGTGTGTGTGTCTGCAGGTACATGGAGGACATCGGCATCCTGCACTCCACCACCATGATCACCCAACACAGACACACACGGCAGCCACCTGAGCACACACACACACAGGTGAGACACACACAGGTGAGACACACACATACACACAAACACACAGCAGATCTTTGTGTGACCTCTGACCTTTGTGTCTGTCCCAGAGTGGGAGTGACAGCCTGTATTCCCAGAGTTACCCATCCATCTACAGCTCTGCTACTGCTCAGAACACAGAGATGAGCACGGAAATGAGCACGGAGAGGGGCACGGAGAGGGGCACGGAGAGGGGCACGGAGAGGGGCACGGAGAGGGGCACAGGAGCAGAGGGACTAGCACGAGTTACACACACGGTCGAGGAGGTGGAGGAGCAGGACGAGGAGGACGAGGAGTACGACGATGAGGAGGAAGGCATGGACGGGAGGAGGCCATTGGGCAGCGAGAGCGCAGGTGACACACACACAGACACACACACAGACACACACACACACACACACACACACAGGTCTAACTGCGGTCTCTGTCTCAGGTGTGTTCTCCATGGATGAGGACTCTCTGTCTCGAGACTGTGAACCGTTCTTTGAGTCTGACGGAGAAGAGGAGAGCACAGACGGTACTCTCTCTCTCCGATCGTCTTAAAGCTGGGGGACCTAACTTTCACTCCACAACAACAAAGCTCTGTTTAAAAATCTATGGGAACGGACACAGTATAACTCCGGTCCAGCTGGTGGCGCTAATATTAACATCAGCAAAGCCAGACAGGATACAAATGTATGGTGTGGTCCGAAGTTATATTAGAATAGCACCACACTGTGACAGCGAGGGTAAAAACAGAAGGGAGTTCTCCGTCGTAGGAAATGCTCTGGCTCTGGAACCACACACTCCGCTGCGCCCCTCGACCACGGTCCTGGGGTTCACATGAAAGTGTAACACAAACAAGAGAGAGAACAAAAGTATGCGACTGCACAGTGACAAGTCACAGTGTAAGACGTAATGTCCCAGGGCTCTTTAATCAGACTATTCATGAGTTAGGTACCCCAGCTTTAAATGTCTTTGGTCCACACCTGATCCTTCCCTTCTCTGTGTTTGGTCCACACCTGATCCTTCCCTTCTCTGTGATTGGTCCACACCTGACGCTTGTCTTTTCTGTGATAGGCTCTCTGAGTGAAGAAGCTCCGCCCCCGGTGCGCTTCATGGCGGTGGGGCAGGTGTCGTCATCACGGCAACAGAACGCCATGGCCCTCGCTCGCTCGCTGCCTGTGTCTGTGCCCGTGTGGAGCTGCCGTGGCAACCGGGGGGGACAGGGGGAGGCCAACAGCGGAGAGAGGGTGAGAGTGGGGAGAGAGTGGGTGTGAGGAGGGGGGGGTGGATGTGAGAGAGAGTTGTTTTTGGTCTCACAGTTGTTCTGTGTGTGTCCTGATCTCCTCTCATGTTTCCTCTCAGCAGGTGGGCTGTGCAGACCTGGACCATATTGCTGCCAGTATGAAAGCTCTGCTGGTACCAGGAGCCACCGACGGCACGGAAATGTTCGGAGCACTGCCCCGACCGCGTCTCAACACGGGGGACTTCTCCCTCAAGCACTGAAGAACCAGGAACCAACCAGTCCAGAAACCAGGAACCAGATCAGGAATCAGTCCAGGAACAGGAACTAGTCCAGGACCAGACCTCGCATCCACCAGGGACGTCTCTCTCCAACAGACCAGACCACCTCTAATTGTAACCAGAAACCAAACCTCAGCTATTCATTATATTTGGACAAATTCAAAGTTGTTTTTCTGAAGGTCCTGATCAAATATTGATCTATCATTTCCATATTGATCATTTCCTCTGGTCTCTCTCAGCTCTCTCTCTCTGGTCTCCGGTCTCCTTCTCTTTGGTATCTCTCTGGTCTGGTCTCTGGGTTTTATCCCTAGTTTTATCACATGGTGTGACGTCATCATTCAGGCAGAATCAGGATTTTTTTAGTTTAATCTAGTTTTAAAAGGAGTTTTGACGCTTGAACTGATTTTGTCTGTCTTTGTAAAAATTATAGAAACGGTGACCCCTGGTGGCACAAGACAAATACTACACACGGACACAGGACCTTAACCTGGACCTGGACCAGAACCAGGATTATATCACAAAATGTATTTTGTGGTGAATGCGGCGTGATAATAATAGTACTAGTACTAGTACTTTATTACTACTTTACCTTCCTTTCCAGCCAAAATGTACCAGGCCCTACTGCTCCTACTGCTGTAATGGTACTAGTACGGACTCAGAGCAGACTGAGAATAACACATGGAGTAGTTTTTAGCTAGATTCAAACTTATATCAGAACCTTCTATCTCTGCTCTGTTATAAGCTCTTTACAACGTCCTCAGTTTGACATCACCTCAGCAGTTCTTTACAAACCCTCCTGTTCACACTACTACCACTGGGTGGAGCTGTCTCACTAACACAGACCTTATGTTTCAACTCAAAGTAATGTATACTAGTTTTTACATTACTGCGTTTTATGCACAGACTGTATCACAGAAGTGTGACATCACAGTGTGACATCACCACAGTATTAGCCTTAATGCGGAGAAGGTTGATTGGATAAAAAGCTAGCTGGAGTAAATTTCTTTGTGTGCATTTGTTCCTATGGCCTTTGCTTTGCACAGTAACGGAGACAGATTTGTTGCTAAGACGGTTGTTAAGGAAGACTGGAGTTCCTTATATGGCTCAAAGACCATATCACATAAAAACACCATGATCACTGAGAGAAGTTAAAATCAATAGGAGCCAGATAGAGGAGACAAACTTCACCATGAACACTTCCCTATTGGTCTTCATTTAGCGAGAGGGTTAGCATTGTCCATCTGTATACAGTCTATGTTAGCATTGTCCATCTACATACAATCTAATATAAATTAACTTTGTCCATTTGTATGTCTCTGGTTTCTAACTTTTGATCCAGTGACACTGCTTTGAGACTCAACTTTGCCAAATCAGCGGAAAGACCCTGCCGCCATCTTCCCTCATGTGTTGGACTTTTATACAGAACGAGGACTGAGAAAGAGGGTCATTATTTAGTTTTGTGTTTTCTGGCTCCAAAATGTTGAAACCTGTCGAATGTTGAAGTTAGTATGAGGAAACGGATGTTCAAGTTCGAGAAAGTTGCAAATAAAAGAATGAAATATTACACTGTTTTCTTTCAAACTTAATTCTCTCTTGGTCTCGCTTGTCTCTGGTTTCTCTCTGGTCCCTCCTGTCTCTGGCGGCCTCTCTTCTCTCTCTGTTCTCTCTCTGGTGTCTCTGGTCTAGTAAGTAGCATTTAAGTCATGTTTTTTTATTTAGCGCTTTACAATTGTGGACGTGATCAGGAGGCGCATGTCAGATCTTTTGTACTTGTTTTTAGTGGGAGGGGAAACCGGAGCACCTGGAGGAAACCTACAAGAAACTCCATCCAGAAAGGCCCTGTGCTGACCGGGATTCGTACGCAGGACCTTCGAGAGTGCTATATCCGTGGCTCTCTACTCTCTTGTCTCTGATAACACATGAGTAACAAAAAAATTTTTTTTTAAAATAGTCCAGGGTTTTCCAGCTGAATTAGACTAATGTTGATGCTCTGAGTCCGAAAATTACCTTGGTTTTGCTCAATCAGGTCAGGATTTTTTGCTACAGAAATATTTTTTTTAATCAATTTTGCGTAAAAAACTAATTTCTGCGGATCATCAGCTGAGGAACCCTTGACGTTTTTTCCGTTTTCCTCAAGAAATAATAGTCAACGTATTCAAAGTCATTCAGTTTTTATTCACTCCATCAAATTTGATAAGCAGAATTCATAATAACGTAGACGTACATAATCCGTAACACTATGGCTGTATCTCACAAAGTTGACCTGATAGAGCAAAATGCATGTGATATTCGGACTCAGAACACCAACATTAGTCTAAATCAGTTGAGAAACCCTTGACCATTTTTTGGTTGTCAACTTGTGTAATTCTCATCTTTATTTTATTCTAAACTGGACAAACTTCAAAAGGAAACGAATTCGATGTTTTAATGCCATTTATTAAGATTTACAAAAGTACAGATTTTCATCCAACACCAGCTCGTTATAAAGAGAATAAATAAACTTAATCTTAATATGTGTTTGATCAGAGACGGTGGGTCCCAGAGGAGACACAGCGCCCTCTGATGGCTCATTAAAGCAGAGTTTAAAAGTGTGTAAACAGTAAAACCGTCACACACAGATTACACTTTTCCAATCCCCAATTTACATCGAGCAACATGCAAAACATAAGCGAAGAGAGATGACACCAGAGATGCACACAAGTCTCTGACCCGCAAGTCCAAGTCCATGCCCTGGAGTCCAAGTCAAGTCCAAGTCTCATTTCCTACACGTTAAAATTATGGCCAATACAATTTAAAATGGATTAAAATATATGAATTCATTTTTTCATCGTTTTTTAGAGCGCATTTTTTTAGCCTTAAACATTTCCGCCTGCAGGCCATACCAGGGCTGGACTGGGACCAAAAAACCACCCTGGGATTTTTGCCTCCTCAACGGCCCAGCCAAGTTTGTTGTCACATTTTTTTAACGTTTATTTATACGTTATGCAGAAGCACACACTGTAGAGGATGTATGCAGATTTAACAATTAAAATAAAATGCAATAGTCTACGTTACAAGAGAGTAACAAACATGTCACCACTACTACTGTTTGTTAGAGGGATGAGAATGGGAAATTAAAAAAAAAAAGTCTGAAAAAACCATCATGTCAGCCAATGACTGTCTATAATTCTGTTTGTTTGTTCACAGCATTTTACTATTGGCACAACCAACATGAGCTGTTAATGCGAGGGAAAATGTACGTTCCCCTAGTTTAGAAGGAGACACGGGGAGACATGGGAACGTCAGGAGGCGCTATCATCCAGCTCTGTTTACTGCAGAGGTGTATAAAGACACGCACACAACAATCAGAGATGGGTCCTGTGCGCGTGTATGGTCCTGGGAACATTATGACCGGCTGCGCGCTGCCGCGTTCACAGAGCGGTCACAGCTCAGACACAACGCGTCCATTCCCGCACAGTCAAGACCCGCGATCACGGCCAAAGAGAGCGCACCGCCATAGAGAGCGCACCGTAATAGAACAACCGCCATAGAGAGCGCACCGCCATAGAGAGCGCACCGCCATAGAACAAGCACCCTTTCCAGCCTGTGAAATGGATGGATCTGGAGCGTCAGGACTCGCAATGTTCACAAGTCCAAAAACAACGAGTCCGAGTCAAGTCCGAGTCTTTAGGGGACGAGTCCGAGTCGAGTCGCAAGTCTCTAAAAATAGCGACTTAAGTCAGACTCGGAGTCCCCATCTCTGGGTGACACCAGGAGCTCATGCTACACGTGAGTTACTTTTTCTATAGAACCACAGACTGTTTACAGATGCTAATGCTAATACAGATGGATAATGCAAACACAGACTTAATACAGATGAATAATGCTAACACAGACTTAATACAGATGGATAATGCTAACACAGACTTAATACAGATGGATAATGCTAACACAGACTGTTTACAGATGCTAATGCTAATACATGCTAATGCTAACACAGACTGTAGTACACAGATGGACAATTCTAACCCGCTAGCTCAATAACGCTCAATAATTATAATAAACTTGAGCTCGTTGATTCAGCTGTGTATGAATTCAGGCCGTGAAAAGTGCTGACTCACAGAACGAGGCTGCGTTCTCTAGCCTCTACAGCGCTGCGAAACAGTAGGGCTTTGATTTCAAAATTTGAATATAATTTTAAAATTAAAATATATACATGGAATATATATATATATATATATATATTATATATATATATATATTCCATGTATGGCCTACATGGAACGCCATAACCAAGTGGCTGGCATAGTGTACAGAAACATCTGTGCAGAGTATGGGCTGGAAACCCCAAGGTCTAAGTGGGAAACTCCTCCAAAGGTGGTGGAGAATGAGCGTGCGAAGATCCTGTGGGACTTCCAGATACAGACCGACCGAATGGTAATGGCAAACCAACCTGACATTGTGGTGGTAGACAAAGGGCAGAGGACAGCCGTGGTGGTGGACAAAGGGCAGAGGACAGCCGTGGTGGTGGACAAAGGGCAGAGGACAGCCGTGGTGGTGGACAAAGGGCAGAGGACAGCCGTGGTGGTGGACGTGGCAATTCCAAGCGATGGTAACATCCGGAAAAAAGAACAGGAAAAGCTTGAGAAATACCAAGGTCTCAGAGAGGAGCTGGAGAGGGCCTGGAGGGTAAAGGTGACAGTAGTGCCCGTGGTGATCGGTGCACTCGGGGCAGTGACCCCGAAGCTAGAAGTGGTTACAGCGGATCCCCGGAACAACCTCGGACATCTGGGTCCAGAAATGTGCAGTGCTAGGAACAGCAAAGATACTGCGCAGAACCCTCAAGCTCCCAGGCCTCTGTAGAGGACCCGAGCTTAGAGAGGGATAACCGCCCGCGGAGGGCCAAAGGTGAGTGGACAATTTTTTTTAATTTTAATATATATATTCCAACAAATATTAGACAGCCCTTATAATTCGAAACGTATTTAATGACTGCAAATAAA